ATTAAGCACACGGATTTGATTGAACAGATCTAAAAACCCTAACCCTAATCCTAACCAAGACGGACCAGTCAGACAAAAAGCAGGGAAAAATGGAAAGCACTTTTGCTACAGAAGAATTGGTCAGGGATGGGTACCCACCAGCAACAAAACCGAAAATGACAATCAAGGACAGCCTCTCAAACAGCCTTGAATTTCATCTGAGACTCGTATACAAGCAAAATCCAGAAACCATGGGGCAAGGGTAAATCTGGAAAAAGATGGACAAAAATTGTGGAACCAAAATTTGGGGCTAAAATACCAAAGCTGGAGGAAACCCTAACCCTAATAAGCTTGGAGATTGATTCAGTGCAATTTAATTTTTATTAAAGCTGACAAATAACAGATGATATAATAACAGTTGGGACTTGGGATAATAATGTTCCCCTTTTGGATTCCGAAAAATCAATTGGAAATTAAGATCTAGGGTTTTTAATTTTTTTTGGGGGAAATGGGGAGTTTGGGGATCCTATTGTTTTCGTGATGAATTTTTTGGATAAATATGTGAATTAAAAAAGTGGGTGTATATTTTTAATTTAATTTTTTTACCTGACTTTTGGTTGGTTGGTCGGTTTCTTTGAGATTGCGCGTGAAACCAGCGAGATTTTATCGAACAAAAATATGTTAATTCCATGGGCGCCCTTGTTAATTGTAGGGGTGTTCGGTATGGAATCTCAAATCAAAAATAAAATTCTGAAATGTTTTCGGTATTTAGGGATGGATCGGGATTGCGTTTTCAGTATTTGGCTTTTGGGCAAAATTTTGAGATTTTTGAGTTGTGGGCCAAAATTTGGGCCTTTGACTTAAAATTTTGTTGCCTAATTTCATATCATTTGAAATTTAGACTTTTGATCTTTACCAATTTGAAATTTCGTACCAATTAAAAAACCAAACCATTCTTACCAAGTCAAATTGACATTTCATACTTTTATTTCTAATATAGTCTACTCTCAAATTATTTAAATTCAACATTCAATATGCATGTAACCAAAATAAATATACATATATATTTTCGGTTCGGGATTCCCGAACTATTGAATATGTAATCCCGATTCCCGTACCGAAAGGTTTGGGATCGGTTCTATATGGATCCCAAAAATTTTGGTATTATCGGTTTTGGAATTTTTTAGTATGTGATCAGGATTTTTTTTTGTTTGGTTTGGGATTTTCAGAAGAAAAAAAATTCCAATCCTAGTTAATTGCTTCGGTTGGTCTTTGTTTCGTCGAATGGCTCATTCATGAGTACCTTTAAAATGATTAAAGTGTCTTTTACGAAAATATTTTTGGATTCAAAATACTTAATAAAAGTGCAAGTGAATATTATAAAAAAAAACTTTAGTGCTTTGTGTAAGAAGCATGTAATTAGTAGTTATTTTAGGAAGAACTTTACCTGTATTTGGAACAAAAACATTTTCTCCAATCATTTTAAGAGCGATTTTAAACAAACCCTAAATGTTACAGCGTATAACTATTGGGTTTGGGATAAATATATCCTATGGATCTTATTTTGTTATATTTGGTTGTTGGGGTATATGATGAATTACTCGTTCTATAAAAAAAATCTTATTTGTATGTTTAATTATTATGCGTTTAGTAAATAAATATTTATATTTTTTTATTCGTCCAATATGATCAACATTATTTGTGTTATCGTGTATTCTCTTTAGCGTTTAATAAATTTAATATTAATAGGTAGTAGGTAGTACGGTGGATTTATACTTTTTGATTGATTCTCGTTTTCTTTTTTAATCAGTCATCCTCTTTACACGTTTACTTATTTTTTATATACTTTTAACTTCTAACGCATGCATAAAATATTAATCAAACAAATAATTTTCATGGTGATTTTATACTTTTTGATCGATTCTTGTTTTCTTTATGTAAGAGAATGACTATAAACTTAAAAGCATAATTTCATGGTAAATTATACAGAGAGCTTCTTCTATAACTTTCGAGTCTTTCTCGTTTGTTAATTAACATTGTTAAGATGAAGCTTCTAATGACTCTAAAAACTCAAAATTACCTAAGAAAAGATATCAAAACAACAAAGCATCAACATAATGCTAATACATGAGAGTTGAACGTAAAACATGTCAATTCATTTGACTCAATTATTGAGCTAATTGAGGTGGTGGCCTTGGTGGTCCTTCTTCGATTTGTTTGCTCACAGAAAATATGGCTTAATTTGATTGGCCTTAAGGATTGATCCCTTTAATTAATCACCTTAATTAGCCGAATTAATTAAAACGAGATAAATAGTTAGCCATCTTCAACGTTTGATACGGTCCACACACAAAGAACTCATGACTCATGAGTGCAAGGGGACTATATATTTAAAACATAGATAAGTTCAATGGTTTGGTAGGAAAAGGCCCTTGGAATGACCAATAACAACCCTATGACCTTGTGCCCCTTCAAGTAAGACAATAACCAAAAGCCAAGAACCAAATAATTCATTTTCATATTTTCTTTTGGGTACTATTTATCCATGAGTAGTGCTATCTACACACTCTTTTTTACTTTTTACACACTTCTCACAATTTTCGGTCGTTAGATCAAATGAATTGAAGATGATCAAAAAACAATAATTAATAAGAGTGTGTGACGGTGATTGGTTGACCACATAAAATGAGTCGAATGACTTTCAAGCACTCGTTGTATAAAATGAATGGCTCGCTTTTGTTATGACGTGAATAACATACGACTAGGAACATGAAATGCTCATTTTAGCCACTATGAAGATGTGACCCATTTGGTTGTTATTAGTGTTCTAAAAATCGACCTAGGCGGTGAAGACTCACTACAATTTAGGGTAAATCGTTTCGAAAAATTGGTCTGGACTTTGGAGCTAGGTAGCCTCCTAGGCGGGTTAGGTGGTCCTAGGCGGCGGGCTAGGCAGCACCTAGGCGGCTCCTAGGCGGTCATAGGTGGATTTTATTTATTTTTTACTTTTTAATTAATTGTGTGCTTTTTTATTTTTTAGTTTTATGGTGGTATAATTATGGAATTGGTGTACCTAATTTGCAAAGGATGGATTGACTACAAGTTCATCCAATTGTGAAATGAATTTGGAGAACTTTTGAGGGGATACATACCAAAAAAAGAAGAAGAAATAAACTAGATACAACAATGTTAAATAATTTAGTCTATATCCAATCCAATGCAAGGATTATGAACAAGAAAAATTTAGTCTATCATCCAATAATACTCCTCATTATGATTATATGTTTACTGTTTTTTAAATATTGAACTTGTTGGATGGATGTACTTTGTGTATTTTTCTACTTCTATTTTTTCATTTTATCATTCTTGTATTGTTCATACAAAGTATAGTTTTTTTTTTCTTTTTTCGTGTAAATAGGCACTTATTTATAACATATATAATAAATTTACATAAATTGGCCTAGACCACCTAGGCACCCAAAGTCGCCTAAGCACTAGGCCCTGCCGTTGCCCGACTAGCGCCTAACATTTTTTAGAACCTTGGTTGTTGTTAACACAATTTTCATAAGAAAAGTTCTACGATGCTCCTGATTATACGCTACTCTAAACCTTTTAATCATTAGATCTTGATTTTTGTACTTTTGACCATAATCTAATAGTTAAAAATTTCAAAATATTCGATACTCTAAAGTACATTTTTTTCATAAGTATAGTTCCATTAGATAAAACTCAACTCAAAAAACCCAGCAACAAAACTATCACAACAAAACAACATCAAAAGGAGACACCCAAATGCCATACAAGACCCTAATGAAAATTTTATTTGAACTCTCGTAACCTCTTCATAAACCCCCAATAATCAAATCCTACTAATCTTTATCCTATATTAATTTGATAGATGTTAAGATTATCATGTATTGTTGTATTCATGATTATCTAGTCTTCTAGTAGATGTAAATCATTGTTTCTTGATTATCTCACCATGTACACAAACTTTATATATATATATATATATATATAATCATCTTGAGCATCGCTTTCTTAATTGGCTCACCATTGTCAAGGTTATCATGGAAACTAAATCATGGTAAACTTCAAATCTTTTTCAACTTTTTATTTATGCTTTTTCTTATTTTTAATCCCGTGATTCAAAGTGGTGTGCTATATATGTTTTATGTTAGAACAGTTTTCTTAAACCTTTTCAAGAATTCAAAATTAGCTACGGTCAGAAACAATTGGGTTTAGGAAGAGCATAAATAAAAAGTTGAAAAATATTCTAAAATAAAACGTAAATGTGGAGCTAAAAATAATCAAGAGACGACACATGAATTTTTGGATGGAAAGGACAAAATTATCCTTGAGGAGCACCAAAATTCCTACGCACGAGCAATGGACAATCATCCCATAATCAAGTCAAAAGTGCCCAAAATAGGTATTTATTCAAAACCTATTTCATCCATCTTCTCCACAAGGTAACCCCCAAAACATTCCTTTTAAATTATGTTAATTAGCTAATTAATAGATTTGTTACCTAATTAATCTATTAATGGCTAATTAAACTACCAATTAACTACAAAATACACTCAAAAACACCACAAAGGGCCGGCCACCTTCTCCCCCAAGGAGGCCTGCCATGCCCTATATATACTACTCCATTTTCTCTAAAAACTTAGGTCTACAGTCTTGCTAAATACTTAAAATTCTCCAAATATTTTTCCCTCAAAATTCTAACTTTAGTATCGGAGGTTCTTCGGCCAAAGCCCCCCTTCATCATAGGCACGTGAGGCTATCGGCCTTGACCTAAGGTGTTATTTGTTTTGTAGTCGTGGGCGCGTGAGACTATTGACCTTGACCTAAGGTGTTAATTGGTTTGTAGGTGTAATTTTATCCAAGAATAAGGAGGAAGAAATTTACATCCACAATATATAGCACACAACTTTGAATCACATGATTGAAAATAAGAAAAAGGATAAATAAAATGTTGAAACAGATTTGAAGTTTACCATGATCTTGTTTCCGTGATGACCTTGGCAAAGGTGAGCCAAAACGATGCTCAAGCTGATTAAGGAGGATATATAGACACACACACACACACACACACATAAGTCTTTCAGACCTATCCATATATATATATATGTATATATAAGTTTTTGTACATGGTGAGATAATTAATGAGAACAGTAGTGATTTAAATCAACTAACAGATTAGCTAATTATGAAAATACAACTATACATGATAATACTACCGTCTATCAAATCAATGATTAGTGTCTAGAGGATTTTAGACGAGAAGTTCTCTTTTATGTAGGGCAGACCATCGTTGAAGAAAAACTTTATTGTAAAATCTTATAAACAACGGTCTCTCTATCTCGAAACATATTGGTTCAAAAATAATAAAGAGTGCTTCATCTAGAGTGGTAAGTTTTTAGATGATTTGCCTTGATTACTGTGTTTCTCACCCTTGAATGTAGGTAAGAGTTGATCATGTGATTGTTCTTTTCCTTACCACAATTTTTGCAGGCTACAACTGCTCTAAACCCTAAACAAAAAAAAACTTAATAGATGATCAGGGTACTAGATTTTTTTCTCTCCTCTGTGAGAGCTTTCTCTCCTCTGTGAGAGTCCGCCTGAGTGCGAGTCCTTTCTCCCCGGAGTGATTCCGTGTTGTGATTCGGTTTCCCGTTGATCAAACCATCCTTAAGCCCTCAGATCTGACAGTTTTGAACCCGTTGCTGTGATCTGCAGGGCCTTTATTATCATCGCTCAGTCTGTGAGCTGCTCCGGAAGAAATTGAAGATTTTACTGTCTGTGTTTGCACCGGTTTTTGCAATTTGGGTGCCTTGTTTGTGTTTCCGGTACTGGGCTTGTGTTTCTGCAGCTGCAACTCCATGTTTGAATCAACCTTGGTTTCCCCTCACGACACCCATCATAAATCGTTAGAGCAGAGGATATACACGGCTTCGAGATTCTGGCGGACGACGATCGGCATGGCGTCGTAGGTTGATCTGACGGCTGAGATCCCGGGAAAGTTCTCGCACCTTTGAGCTCCGGTGTGCACGTACAGCACCGCGAACGGCTTTTCTCGATCTCTGAAAACATCCTCTTCTCCAAACAATTCCGCAGAGCATCCAGCACAGCTGCATCTTTTCGCTCCGGTGTGAGAGTGATTGACCCTTCGCCAGTTCCGCCTCTGTGCGTGTGGCTACAGGTGAGTGTCGATCGTGTGTTTTGTGCTGTGCAGGTTAAGATCTTGGGGTGTTGGGTAACTGAGGCTCTGGAAGCAGGATGGCGTGGGGTGAAAGGGCCTAGGGTGACGAAAAGGATTTGGGGCTTTTTAAATTGGTGTGTTGTACTCCACGAGGGTTGCAGTGGCTGTGGTGTTGATCTGATTGGGGGTTTTACCTCTGTCAATTTGGGTTTGTGGGATCTGTGCGCTTGGGGGTTTCTGCTATTGTGGTTCGATTGGGGGGGGTGGTGGAATCCGTCAACTGGAAGGTAGTAGGATGGGTGATGTAAGGGATTAGGGTGACGGTAAGGGGGTGGGGTTTCTCAAACTAGGGTGAATATCTCTTCGAGGGGGAATGGGGTGGGGTGGTTTTTCTCTAATTAGTGTGTCTCTCTCTTCGAGAGGTGATGGGGTGGGTAATTTGAATCGGGTTGGGGGGTTTTAATTCTGTCAGTCTGGGTTTGAGGGGGCAGGATCAGTGGATGGAAAGTCTCAGTGACAGGGAGGAGAAGAAAGAAATCAGGTGGTATTCGGGGTGGCTATCTGTGTGTTCTGAGTTTGTGTCCAGCAAGTCAAGGATTCTTCTTCGTCTCAGGCTGGCCGAGTGGGGCAGCGCTGTTCCTTTGTGATGGCGAAAAGTGGAGTGGATGAACTGGTGGTTCAACTGAACCAAACACTGGATTTATCAACCATGGAGCAGGGTGTTAAATTGGTTGGGAAAGTCCTAACGCCAAAACCATTGAACAAGTGGGGAGTCAGGAATATTCTCAGAGCGGCTTGGAAAGAATTGGGTGAGGTGGAAATAAAATGGGTAAGGGAGAATGTCTTTATTATTTCGGTCAAAGATGAAAATGTAGCCTCAAAAATCCTTGAGCAGGTTCCCTGGGCAGTGATGAAAAAGGTGTTCTCTGTCGTGAAATGGCCTCCGGAGCTCGCTTTGGAGGAGCTGGAGCTGGATGATGTTCCATTTTGGGTTCAAATAAGGGGAATTCCGCTGGGCTTAGCCTCTATCGAGAACGTGCAGCGTGTAACCAAAGAGGCTGGGAAATTTATAGCCATGGAGGATCCCGGACACGCTCGTGGATTTGTGCGAATCAGAATTTTAGTTGATATGGAGAAGCCATTATTTAAGGGATGCTGGATTCGAAGGGACTCAAATAAGGAAACCTGGGTGGAATTCCGGTATGAACGGCTTCAAGATTTTTGCTACAGGTGTGGACGGATTGGGCATATCAATACAGAATGTTCCGTTGAGATGTCTGGAGATGGGGAGGTGGCGTATGGAGAGTGGATGAAGGCACCGCCGGTAAGGGAGGTGGCGATATCGAAGAAAGTGGAGTATGTGGGCAGGGGGGAACGCCGGCAGGCCGGGGCGGTGCGCGGACCGGGTATCACGGCTGCACAGAATCAAAGTAGTTTACGGATTTCGAAGGCTCAAGGAATGGAGTGCAATCAAACCATGGAGCCAGGGGGAGCATCAAAGAGTCGTGGCACAGGTCAAAAAAAATGGCGTAGAAGAATGCGGGGGGAGGCAGAGGATACGTCTTCCTGCTCTGAAATGGAAAGCATTAAAACAGTGGGTGAAGGAAGGTCGGGCGAGGTCCAGGGGGGCAATAACTTTCTGTCCGCCCAGGATGATGAACCATTATGGGGTAGTAAAAGAAGTGGGGATGCACAGGATATGATGCTAACTCAAGCTCCACAGAAGAAATTCAAGGGCCCGGATACGGAAGAGAATTACCAAGGAAGGGTGGCAGAGACAGGGAGGAGGTTAAATTGCAAGGAAGGAGACCTATCGGTGGAACGAGCGGTCCATACGACGGGTGAAGATAAGGAAGAAAAAAGTGAGAATCTTAGAGGACATGAAATAATGGAAGGGGAGTCGGAGATTGTTAAAGGAAGGATGGTGACAAAGAAGGCGGGCAAGTTGGCTCGGGGCGGTGGCGGCTGGCCTTCAACAGCCGCAGGCCAGCCATGAGTTATATATTCTGGAACTGTCGTGGGCTAGGGTCGGCAACGACAGTAAGGGCTCTCCATGGGCTTATTTGCAAAAAGAGACCCTCTATGATCTTTTTATCAGAGACTAAGATGAAAGATCATAGAATTCTAGGTGTGAGGAGGCGATTGGGTTACTTACATGGCTTTGATGTTTCGCCAATTGGAATGGCTGGAGGATTGAGTTTATGGTGGGAGGACAATCTGGAGGTTAATATTATCTTTTCGTCCAAGCATATTATTGATGCTGTGATGAGAATTAAAGGGCAAACGCAATGGAGTCGGATTACGGGTGTGTACGGAACGTCGTATAGAGTTGAGAAAAATCTGTTTTGGGAATGGATGGTTAACCAATTTACTCCCACAGATATACCTTGGATTTGTGGCGGGGATTTCAATGAATTCCTGTGGGATTATGAGAAGTCTGGAGGAGTTGAGGTCTTGTACAACAGACCAAGATTCTTAGAAGAGTTTCTGTCTTCCTCTCAGTTGATGGACTTGGGTTTCAATGGACCAACATTCACGTGGAGATGGCTGAGAAAAGGGGATTGGGTGGAGGAGTGATTAGACAGGGTCATGGCGAATGAAAAGTGGCAGCAACTCTGGCCGAACTCCCATGTTATGCATGAAACGGTTTTAGCCTCGGATCACTGCCCAATTGTTCTTAGTTCTATATCTGATGGGCAGAAAGGAAGGAAGATGTTCAGGTTTGAGGCGTTTTGGGTCTCGGAGGAAGAGTGCAAGAAATTGGTGGAAATGTGCTGGGACCGGCGGCATCATGGTAGCCCTGTGAATAGGTGGGTAAGATCTTTAAATGAATGTCGTTATCGTTTGAGCAGGTGGAATCGTACCAAATTTAAGGGGAGGGGTAGCAGGATCCATGATCTTCTTTCCCAGTTAGATTCACTCCAGCGAGACTGGGGTCCAAACTATGACAAGATAAGGGAGATATCTCGGCAGATTGATGAGTTAAGACTCCAAGAGGAGAGTTATTGGTGCCAGCGATCGAGGGTAAAATGGTTGAGGGATGGGGATGCAAACTCTCAGTTTTTTCACTCTTCAACCCTTCAGAGGCGTAGGAGAAATAAGATTGTGAAGCTTAGGGCGGAAAATGGAAACTGGGTGGAAAATCCGTCTCAGGTGCGCCATTTAGTGGATAATCATTTCTTTTCAGTTTTTAGCTCGGCAGGGGATCGTAACTGGGGGTCGCTGCTAGATTGCATTAATCCCTCGATCTCGACAGAAATGAATGAGGCGCTAACTGCACCGGTTACGGAGGAGGAGATAAAGGAGGCTGCTGGGAATATGGGAGGTCTTAAGGCTCCCGGCCCCGATGGTTTCCAGGGAATCTTCTATCAGACATACTGGGAGATTGTGAAGGAAGATGTTTCGGCTCTGGTCAGAGAGTTGCTTCAGGACGTCGCGGGTTCGAGATTGATAAATCAGACTAATATAGTACTGATTCCCAAAGTCCCTAATCCGAAATTTGTGTCGCAGTTCAAGCCTATCAGCCTGTGTAACTATTCGTACAAAATACTGTCAAAGATTCTTGCTAACCGGTTGAAGGTATTTTTGCCTAAAATCATATCTCCATCTCAGAATGCTTTTGTGGCGGGTAGACAAATTCAGGATTGCATTGGCATAGCCCATGAGATGTTTCATTATCTGAAGGGAAGGAAAGTCAGGAACAGATTTGAAATGGGGATTAAACTGGATATGCAGAAGGCGTATGATAGGGTTGAATGGGACTTTTTGGATGCGGTAATGGAAAGAATGGGGTTCAGCAGTAGTTGGAGATCGCTAATTATTGGATGTATTTCGTCTGTGAGTTTCGCTGTTCTTCTAAATGGGCAGGCTGGTGAGTCTTTTGCTCCCTCGCGGGGTCTCCGTCAGGGGGATCCTCTTTCTCCCTATTTATTTATTTTGGTGGGGGAAGTTCTTTCAAAACTGATTCAGGGTGCGGTGGACCAAGGTAGGTTGGAGGGTGTTAAGATTGGTGGATCTGGACCCGTAATTTCTCACCTCTTCTTTGCGGATGATACCCTTCTGTTTCTACGGGCAGATGTGAAAAACTGCAGGAATTTGAAACATATGCTGGACAAATTTTGTGTGGCGTCTGGGCAGAAGGTTAATTTGGAGAAATCCAGTGTTTTCTTTGGGGCAAATGTTCCGAAAGTGAACGCGGATCAGATGGGGAATGCCCTTGGTATGACGGTGGTTAGCAATCCGGGGACTTATTTGGGGGTCCCTGCTATTTGGGGCCGGTCGAAAAAGCGTGGTCTTGCTTATGTAAAAGGAAGAGTAATGGAAAAGCTTCAAGGGTGGAAACAAAGTACTCTATCCCGTGCCGGTAAAGAGGTTTTAATTAAGGCTGTTATCCAAGCAATTCCGGCGTACCCAATGTGCATTTTCAAATTCCCCGCCGTCGTTTGTCAGGAATTGGATGCGTTAGTGGCTGGATTTTGGTGGGGTTGCAAGGAGGGAGCCCAAAAGATTCATTGGGTCTCAAAGGAGGTTTTGGGTTTGCCAAAAGACTTGGGTGGTTTAGGCTTCAAAAACTTTATGGAATTTAATGATGCTCTGCTTGCTAAACAATGTTGGCGGTTAATCACGGAACCGGACTCGCTGTGGGCTAGGGTGATGAAAGCCCGGTATTTTCCCCATTGCTCGATATGGGATGCGAAGAAAGGTGGTCGGGCTTCTTGGGCATGGAGCAGCCTCATCTGTGGCAGGGATGTGATCAAGGAGGGTTCCCATTGGCAGATTTTGGGCGGTCAGGAGGTGAGGGTGTGGCAGGATAGGTGGCTTCCAGCATTGCCCCTTGGACATCCGGTGCCGGTTGGCCAGGTTGCGGTTACTCCCAGTTTAAGGGTCAGTGCGCTTATCTGTCCGGAGTCGGGGCGGTGGAATCTTAGCTTTTTACAACCTTTCATATCGGGGGAGGCTTTGCAGGCTATTAAGGAGACGCCTTTGGGGGATCTAAGTCGTAATGATAGGCTCATCTGGGATTTGAGTAAGAACGGTACTTATTCGGTCAAGTCGGGTTATAGATGGCTGCAAGGTAGATCACTGGCTAGGAGGGACAAGCGTCGGCCTTCTATTCATGGGGTTCCCAAGGCGTTTTGGAAGGGGATTTGGAAGCTGGAGGTGCCCCCCAAGTTGCGACATTTCTTGTGGCTTACGATGCATAATTGTCTTCCTACTCGGGAAGCCTTGTACCGACGACGGTCCTCTCTGAACTCTACTTGTCCTATTTGCTGCTGCCATGATGAAACCATTGAGCACATTTTTCTTGCTTGCTCTTGGGTTGAGCCAATTTGGTTTGGTGGGGCTTTGGGGTATAAACTGGATCATCTTTCTCTCCCGTCTTGGCTGGAATGGATTCAGAAGGTATTCTCTCCGACTTTATGCAACTTTGGAGATACAATGTGGAGACAATCTTATATTGTTTTTACCTGTTGGTGTATTTGGAAAGCTCGTTGTGATTTTGTTTTCAAAGGGATGTCTGTTAACCCTTTAAAAGTCTTGGCTGATGTTTCTGCGGCTATGAGCTCGTTTTTTGGTGCTAAGGCAATGGCTGGGGTTAGGGGAAGGAGTGACCGGAGGAGGGGTACCCAGGTGGCGCGGTGGTGTGCTCCGGCCTCTCCTTTTGTGAAGATTAATGTGGATGCCAGTTGGTCCAAGGCCTCAAAGATGGGATTTGTTGGATTGATTGCGCGGGACATGGAGAGAAAATTCGTGGCTGCAGCGCGGTATGCTATATCTGCTCCTTCTGCTGCTGCAGCGGAGGCTTATGCGTTGCTGTACGGGTGCCAACTTGGTGACGAGTTGGGAGTAAGGTATGTAATTCTTGAGTCGGACTCCCTTGAAGCGATTAATTGTTTATCTAGTTCGCTGTCTAGGGGTAGTTGGGAGGCATTTCCGGTGCTGGCTCGGGTTAAACAACTGGGGGAGAAGTTCTTTGATTGCCGATGGTCTTGGGTGCCCCGTTCTGCAAATGGCGTGGCTCACAAGATTGCATCGGGTGGTTTTACGGAGATGAGTGATGTCGTTTGGGTCGTTAGGCCCCCATCTTCGTTGGTCTTTGTATTGAATAATGACGGACTACCTTGTCCTCATTAATTTGATTTGGTGGTGCCAGGGGTGACACCTCTACTTGGTGGAGGGGTCTTTGTGGTTTTCCCATTGTCACTGCCTGTTTATTGTATGTTTGTTTGCCTCTCTGTAGGCCTTTTATGATATGGTATCTGGTGTTCAAAAAAAAAAAAAAAAAAAAAAACCCTAAACAAAAATAATTGAGATCAAATTTTTTTTAAAAAAAAGTATAAATTGATTCCCATTCTTTATTTGGAGGATTAAAACTTCAAAATCAATATCCATATGTTTAAACGTTTTTCTGTATCACAACGTTTTAGAATTTTAATCATAATAGAACATAGGATAAAAATTGCATGAATGGTAAATGTTTGATTATTGAATGTGTGTTTATGGGTAAATTTTGGTATTCTTTAATTCCATCTTATGCTTTACGGTAATTATACAATAAGGTGAAAAAAAAAATTCACATTTAAATTTTAAATTGGGCATAGAATGACATCACATGAGTTCATATAAAATTTTCTAAACCCTAAAGCCAAAAAAGACAAAAGTGAAAATCCCCTACTAATGGACGAGTGTTGCTGTAGCCATAGCCACCATGAAAACCGGCAACCCAAAGCGATTACCAACTATCTTCTCTTAGGCCATCTCCAACCGAAAGTTGGCCAGATGGCTCATTTTAGCCATCTGGCCCTCCAAGAAATTAATATGTTAATGAACAATGCAGGGTCATATTTCTTACCATCTCCAACCGAGAGCCAAAGGGTCATAGGGCCAAACAAATTAAATGTAATATAATTAAATATTTAAAATAAATTGTGAAAGGAAAATGCTTATGAAAGGAACTACAACTACAACTACACCCATTATAATTTTTCCACATCGGGCGTGGGAGATGAATGAGCAAGGAAGCTTATAAAATGAACACCCCAACTTTGACCAAATCACCTTTAATATTTTTTAGAAAATTTTGGCCCCAAAAAAAAAATTGCAAAAAATAAAATAAAATAAATATGATGTCATTATGACGTTAGCATGTGGCCCCGCCTGGGGCTGGCTGGTTTGGGCCAGCCGGTTGGCACTTTGGCCATTTTTGTGTAGTGGGCCCCACGAGCCCTTGGCTTGGCCTTCTGTTAGAGATGGTTTTCGGGCTATTTTCAACCCTCTGACCCTCTGGACCCTTCGATTAGAGATGGCCTTACATTCACAAGTCATGACATCAACCTAGGCTGTTTTGGATGGAGGATATGATAAAAATAAAGGAACATTTATTTTTATTTAAAATAAAAGATAGTAATGGTACAAAGACTTCGAGGCTGGTTTAGTGTGCATAATTTTTTTTAATAAATGATAACATTAGTAGGTTAGATAGTTAAATGTTAGGAGAAAGAGAATCGGTGGGGGTTCGATCTGCACCAGAGTGTATAGGTATTATTTCTTTCAAATTAGAATGAATAATTTATCAAATTTAAGTACGTTGAAGGAAGAAGTCCAAATGATGAATTAATAACCTTTCTAATATTCACAAAATCAATGGCATACACATTTAACAATTTTAAAATTTATAAGCTATCCAAGCTTGAGGACTAAATGAACTATGGGATCCAAAATATGTTTGGAAACACTTTTGAAAGAGGAGATTTGCGTTGTGTCACTCAATAGGCCAATTAGGTATCACACTCGCATCTACGTCAGAGTCGCTTAGTGCGTAGGGATGACAATTACTATCGGTTAAACTCATTATAAGTGAATAACCATCCAAATGAGAAGATTTGCGGATGAAAGTTAGAGTACTTTTTGGATAAGGTAGTGCTATTTACACACCCATTGTTACTTCTCACACACATCTTTCAATTTCCTGCCATTGAATTGAATAAATTGAAGAATATCAATAGATAAAAATTAACAAGGGTACGTGAGAAGTAAAAAAATGAAGTGTGAATAGCATAACCCTTTGAATATATAGAAAAACTGTGAATATTATTTGATTACGGGTCCCGTAAGTATTAGTGGGCCTTCTGGCCTACCTGTTGGGCATTTTGGTCTTTATAAGTAGTTTTATAATTCATAATTGGAAACTTTAACGAAAAGCTCCCGTTACTGTTTACTTTAACGAAAAACCACATTTTTACACTAAAAAGTCAATCATAATACTATTTCTTTTACCCTTTATTTTATCTTTATCGTTAAAAGTCAAAGTTTTCAAGTCCATAAAAACGGGAGAAAGAGAAATACCGTTAAACAAATGAAAGCAAACCGGAAAGCTATAGAAATATCTGAAATTACGATCCTAATTGCCCCCAATTCGTACCACCCAAAACCTTATCTTTAACAAAAAGCTCCTGCTACTGTTTACTTTAACAAAAAATCATATTTTTACACTAAAAAGTCAATCCTGATGCTATTTATTTTACCTAGGGATGGGCACGGGCTAGGCCGGGCCCAATTTTGAAGGGACCGAACTGGACCCGGGTTCAATGGAGACGGGCCGAGCCAGGCCGGGGATTACATTTTCTAATATAAGAACCGGACCTTACCCGGCCCAGTTGAAACGGGCCGGTTCGGGCCAGGTCCACAGGTCATTGGTGTTTTTTTTTTCTTCTTTTCTTCTTCAACTTTTTAGATCGTCGGGAATCGGACCACCACTTTCTTCTCAAACATCCTCGTCGCAGTCATCTTCTTGCCGAGCTTCCTCGTCGTGGTTTTGAGCAGCCGCTTCGTGCAGTGGCGACGAATGTTGTAGCATTAGTCCCTAATGCTGAGTCCAAACTGTGTCCTAAACTAGAAGAGCGCTCCGACCATCACTTGTGGATGTGCCACTCGAAATCGAACACGAAGAGGCCTGCAACTGCCCATTTCCACTACCAACTCTCCAGATCAATAATCATTCACCTTACATTAGCTTTACATTGATCAAATCCAATGAATACCCAAATTGAAAAAAAAATGAATTGCTAAAGATATAAAATTGCAAAAGAAAAATGAAAAACCCTAACCCATCGATCAAACCCCTAATTCAATAATCCTAGGCGCGAAAAATGAAAAACCCTAACCCATCGATCAAACCCCTAATTCAATAACCCTAGGCGCTAAAACAACACAATTGACCCCAATCCTAAATAAAAAAAAACCTTAACCCAACCAAATCCCAAATTATGAAACCCTAGAATCAAACCAAATTTTGATCCCAGGCCTTGAGATCGTCCTCAGAGATCTTCTCGTTAGGCTTGGTGGCGTCGACATGCTGTTGTCGGCGCAATCGTCCTTGATCATGTGCTTGATGGTCTGCGACTCGACCTCGAATGACTCGCCGTTTGAGCTCTTGAGGGTGATCTTCTTCGACGACAACGACATGGTTGGTGACGGTGAGACTTGAGAAGGGTGACTGGTGAGATTGGGTTGTTGCTCCAGTCCTCGCAGCACCAGCAATCGTCGATCGATTGGGTTGACGACAAGGCATTGACTTTGGAGAAAGACGAAATCGAATTCGAGGACTCGAGTCGAGTGATAGAGTTGAGGTCGAGGACGAGGAAACCTAAAACTAACGGTTAAGATTAGATGGAGATATGATCTCTTCAATCTCGCCCATCCATTTTAATCATAAACGGGCCGGTCCAGGTACCCGCGGTTCCTGTACTTCAGGAATCGACCCGAATAAAAAATTACAAAGGTCCGGCCCATTTCTCTTTTTTAAAATTAAGAACCGGCCCGTACCCACCCCGACCCATGGTTCCTATACCCGTTTGCCCACCCTTAATTTTACCCTTTATTTTATCTTTATAGTTAAAAAGTCAAAAGTTTTGAAGTCCATAAAAACGGGAGAAGGAGAAATACCGTTAAACAAACGAAAGCAAACCGGAAAGCTCTAGAAATATCTGAAATTACGATCCCGATTGCCCCCAATTCGTACAACCCAAACCCTATCTTTACCTTCACTCCGATATCAGCCATGGCGAACCAACCGTCTTCTTCCACAGCTCCTCCGTCGACTTCTTCCCAATTCACATACGCCAACGCCTCGTCGTCGTCGTCCTACTTCCCCATGCCATTCCACCTCCAGCAACCCCAGTACCCCGCGCCTTACGCCGTCGCAGCGCCACCCGCCCCATCCGTCTACCCGGCCCCGGCTCCGGTCGCTGGTGTCTACTCTCTCCCTCAGCAGTATCAGCAGGTATGTTTCCCGGGACGCCTTTTTTTGTATACATTTACTCTTATATGCATATTCATATGTTTGGGGTTTGATAATTAATGCCTTTGATTTCTTGAATAGTTGAGAATAAAGAGAATGGGTCTTTTCTTCGTTTCGGAAATTCGTATGCTTTCGTGAAAAGTATGTTCTTTGTTGAAACGAATTCATGTTATTTTTGCCTTTAAAGAGCTATAATTTTTGGGATTCTTGTTTGAGGAACTATTACAATTTGAAAATATAGAGGAAAGCTACTTATAGTTTTCAAGATTTTCAGTTTTGAAATAAGTAAAGGAGCTACTTATCAGTTTTTGCTGTTTTAGGGGAAATTGTTCGGTGTGTTAGTTTCATGTGTATAATTTGTTGTAGTGTAAATAAACAGGCTCAGCAGTTGTTTCAAAGGGATGCACAGACGATTACACCTGAGGCTCTCGAGAGTGTGAAAGCTGCTCTTGCAAACAGCGAAATTGAGCACAAAGCGGAAGCTAAGAAGAAAGCTATCCCTCGTAAAGCTGCCGGGCAGGCCTGGGAGGACCCAACTCTTGCAGAATGGCCAGAAAGTATGTGTGATTTCATAATTAAATGCTCTTTCAAATTAATTTTTGTTATGATTCAATTGCATGATTGTGTCCCCTTTCAGTTTATCTTCTTTGAATTTTTCCCTTTAGGGTTTAGGCTACTTGGTTCATGCAATACGATTCAGTTTTCACTTTAGTTTTTTGGTTTCTGAGCAAGTTGTTCTCACACGATTAGCATTTTAAATTTACCTTACTTTTCTTCAATTAAATGCATACTTATGCCTTATAATTCTGTTGTGTTTTGGATTTTGCAGATGATTATCGACTTTTTTGTGGTGATCTTGGTAATGAGGTGAATGATGATGTTCTTTCTAAAGCATTTTCACGATTTCCTTCCTTTAACATGGCAAGAGTAAGTTTCTGCCTCATCTCCTTTTTTTTTTCCGTTAAAGTTCTTTTATTATTAGAAATTGTTTGCGTGGTGTGAACTTCTTAAATTTTACGTTCAGATTGTTATATGAAGAATTCAGAGCACTTTGTTTTATTCATTCTAAGGTAGGTCTCATCTGCTGTTTACATTTTTGTTGGATGTGTAATTGTACTAGTAGCTCCCAAGTTGCAAATTGGAATGGTCAAAGTTGTTATGATGCGTTTATCATTTTTTTTAAGTTCATGCACTTCTAACAACATTTGATTGTAAGACGCCTATTGACAACCTACATCACAACTTATGTGATTTTTCAAGCATCTGCTGACTAATTTTGAGATCTCAAATTTAGTTAAAATCAGTTTTGACCATTAAATATAGGTTGGACAGCTTGGAATCAACATTTGGAGGTTGAGTTGGTTGAATTTGACCTGACTCACAGGCTACCTTGAATTATTGCTTGTTGGGTCGATTTGAACGAATTTGGAGTCAGGTTAGTGAACCGATTGAGCTTCCATGGTTCTCAATATAAGTGAACCTTAGGGGTGGGTGTGCAGCCCTGCTTTTGGGCTTGGGAAAATGGTAACAATTTTTTTTTGTTTGGTTAATGAAATTCTGTGTCAAAAATTTGAAATTTTCCTTCTACCTATGACCATAAAAGGAATTTATGACTAGAGTTGAAAACTGTTTGATGTAAATTTCCTAGCTAAAACACTGCTGTGGTGGTGTAACGTGTGTGGGGGTGACGGTAGTGTGGGATTTGGGTCAATGGGGGGCATCCTAGCTAAAACACTGTAAAAAACTGTAGAGTGTACTTTGTTTTGTTTCTTCATTTAGTATGTAGATGCTTTGCTTGATGTTCTCATACGTGTGTGATATATGGTTGGTAAAAGTGAGCCGTAATTGTCTTAGAATCCAATTGTTTTCCTTATTTTGAATGTGCCTGGATTGTAGTGCTTATAATCTTCTGTGGATTATTCTGTTTCTCACTACGTTTTTTATTCATCTACTTTTTTCTCATAGAATTTGTGATTTTTGACTGTGATTGAAATGTAAAAACTTATGTACGTCTGCTTTATCACCATCTCTAGGTTGTCAGAGATAAGAGGACTGGAAAAACCAAGGGCTTTGGATTTGTTAGCTTTGCCAACCCTTCTGACCTGGCCGGAGCACTAAAGGAAATGAATGGTGAGAAAAATATTTACTTGTATGGTGATTAGAATCGTAGGGATTGTTGATACGTTTTGACTTATATGATAATTGTCTTATATAATTTGCAATAATTCCAGGTAAGTACGTGGGCAATCGGCCAATCAAACTACGGAAAAGTAACTGGAGGGAGAGGATAGATTATGATGCACTAGAAAGACAAAAGGTACTGTTTCCACTTGTTTAGCGTAGTTTCAAATTTCTGGCTTTCCGAACGGTAGTCTATGCTTACCAAGTGTTCCTGCTTTATTTCATTTGTGGCAGAACCACACTCACAAGAAACCAAAGCCTTCGAAGAAGAGTATATTGCACAAGTGAGCCAGAGACTTGTAGACAACGTGGTGAATATGATAATTGGCGCAGCGAAGTAATTGATCATTTTATTCCTCAAATCAAACTCGGCTCCTGGTGTTAATCAAATCGATGTAGGGATGTGGTGAAGCTTAATGATGGTAATTGAACGAATGATACTATGCAACGGGCATTTATTTTGTGTGTAATACAGGGATTAGTGGTGGATCCTTTTAAATGCACCTTTAAACTTCTTTTGATGTACTAATTAAACAAGTTATATCAAGTATATTGAAAGTTAGTTGTTAAATGTGCAAGGTTTTACTACTGTTTTTGTGTTACTTCATGTGTGTGTGTGTGTGGATGGAGTTTCAATTGAGGAACACCTTTGTAAGGGCCACGCCACCTTGTATTTCAATGACCCGAACCACTCCTTAGATCGTCTTCGAAGGATTTGCAAAAAATCACTCGAATCTAAAACCACGTTCGGGATATAGATATCAGGCAGTTGGCTACCTCACATAAGTTAACCCATCCATCAATAAAGCATATGTAACAAAATTTACCCTCACTATTACTTGTAGAAAGGTAAAACTCAACTCGACTAGAAGAAATACGGGCTTCTAGTGGCAACATGCTATGGGATGATGGTTCCGCTTATAGGGTCAAATCAATATGTTATAAGAAGAAATATTTGAATATCAATCTCATTGATATCATCGATTTCATAAGTATTGTACCAAATCCCATCAATCGAACCGCTTTTTCGAGAAATACGAAACATCTAAGTCATAAAGGTAAAGAGATCCATTCATTGATAAGAAAAAGAAAAAACATGAATGGTGATTGGATTGATGATAAAATAGATTCCTGGGTCTTGACCAGTGAGTGATTCAATTGATGATAAAGAAAGAGAATCCTTCGCTCAGTTCTCCACCTTAACGACAGAAAAAAGCTTCTCGGTCTCGTTTACAGATAACTAGTATCTTCTTCCCAAGAAGCTACATTACTTGTAGAAAAAAGTAACAAAATTTACCCTCACTATTACTTGTAGAAAAAATAAAACTCAACTCGGCTTCTCGGTCTCGTTTACAGATAACTAGTATCTTCTTCCCAAGAAGCTACATTACAGAGAAAGCAAAACTATCCCTTCAAAGTGCGACATTAAAACCAGAGTGACTGCGTCAAATGATTTCATACCGGCTTCTGGAACTTTCCATGAACCCACACCCTTCGCATGCTCTTACCCTTCCGACGATTCACTGACTTAACACAGCAGTATTCGAGCTCAAGCTGACAAAACCGAGTGATAGAGCATTAGACAGTACTAGAAAAACACACATACACGCAAAATTAGCATAAGTTCAAATAGCGAAAAACTCCAAACAATTATTTTTACTCGTTTATGAGCAAAATTAGTACCTGTTTGAAGCCGGCACGCACAAATAGATCCCTCACAGTATCTAGACAGAAGAAATAAGAACGGGTTCCATCTGATCGCATATACTCCCTGAATTGCACTCTTTTGTCCTCCTCAAATCGAAGCATGGTCATGTCATAGAGGCCTGATGTTCATCAAAATTCTGTCAGCACGAAAAATACTAGAAATATTTCCAAAAACTTTAAAGCTAGAGCTCAAAAAGAGATTTAAAACTCCAAGTCCAAGCCAAAATTAGATTAAATCATTACCATAATCCCTAAAGAACAGCAGGCCTCCGGGTTTTAAAAGAGAAAAACACTCCATGATGGACGCTGGCATCCTTTTGAGTGGTAATGCTGACAGTGTGAATATCTGACAGATTTCACAGTAAAGAAATAAGCTCATATCACCAAGTTATTGTTTCAAGTGAAGAAAATGGATAGAAAGTATTATAGTATCACAGTTCAAATCACAAGATATCAAAACGAAGAGCGCCAATTGACAGAAAAAAAGTTTCACACAACAGAGACCAGTTTTAACCCTGAAGCTTTATCATTCACAATTAGCAAGAGTCCAGACAAAAAACTTCTGAACCAAACAGTCGTATAAGCAAAATGTAATATTTCAAAGGTTCATTGGCCGGTTTGTTGAAAGAATGCTCACCAAGGTAACAAAATCAACCCCACCAACACAACATTTACTTTCTTTCGATGCATATTTATAATTTGGATCCGTTTCACTTTTGCCTCTACCATCTGGAGAAACAAACAGAGCTTTGAGTTTTATATCAGGGGGCCTGCTTGTACTTCATACATAATAATATACACAGATGAAGCAACTAACCTGTCAAGTGCTGCTGCGATGTTTGTGTGAAGTTTTCTCGACAAGGATTGCAGGCCAACCATGTTGGAAACGCAGTTACAGAAAAATCATGACAAAATGGATGGAAACGATGTTCAACAGCTGCAATGTTAGAGGCATCTATAGTCTCCTTAACCCTGTCAAGGGCCTCAGTGCTACAATCACAAGCATAAACAATGATGTTCTCATTGCCACTGCACGGGAAATAATGATTTGTAAGGATAACAAATAGAACACCAGCAATCACATCCATGCATTCAGTAAATTCTGAAAGGAGACAGGTTTAGAGTGTAATACCGTAATATTGGAAGAATGGTGCTGCCATTACCGCACCCCACCTCCAAAACCTTAGAATTCTTTTTCCAATTAACGAGTTCAGGGAATTCTTCTAACAAATATCTCCTTTCCTGCATTGAATCACGTTTACGGAATAAAACAGAGAATGGGGAAATGAAAGTTAAGTGTCATAAAGACAAAAAGTTGAAATAAAGGGAAAAAAAAAATCAAACAGAAGTGATTCAGAGTAAAGATTGCTTCTGGAAAGGGCTAAAAGTGCTTTTTGACAACCAAAAGTGCTTCTAATTACATTTGGTAGAGAAACGCAAAAGCTCTGGGTCCTAAGCCCATCCTGGAGAAGCACCTGCACTCCAAGTACTTTTCCATGAAACACTTGAACATTTAATAAATTTTTTTGATATATTTATAATAGAGTAAATTATAGCTATGGTCCCTTAACTTTAACTCAATTGGAGCAATGGTCTCAACTAAAAATCAATTAGCATTGGTCCCTCAACTCATCAAAACGTGCAGCTATGGTCCCTCAACTAAAAATCCATTATCATTGGTCCCTCAACTTTAATTCAACTGGAGAAATGGTCCCTTAACTTTAACCCAATTGTAGCAATGATCCTCCCAACATAACTTGTTTTGACAAAATTTTTGACGTAGTTGACAAAAATGACCATAATTACACACTTTGATGAGTTAAGGGACCCTTATTATATAAATGGTTATTCCAACGTAACTTATTTTGACAAAATTTTGATGAAATTGATGAAAAGGAATATAGCTACATATTTTGATAAGTTAAGGGACCAATGGTAATGGATTTTTAGTTGAGGAACATTGCTACAATTTACTCTTTGTAATAAAAGCACTTCTAGCAAAAAAGCTTCCTAACCCAATTCAGAAAATCTAGAATAACATTGAAAGATGGAGGCTTTAAAGATTAACAATCTATAATTACACAGAAATATGGATAATTTCCGAAAAAATATCAACAAACTCAATAACCCAAATAAATAAAATGGCATATTTTATTAATTGACAAAAAAAGGTAAATTAAGAGAGGGAAAGCAATGGGGACCTTGAAGAATTTGCCGGAGGAATGACGGTGGTGAAATCTGTTCCACGCGTGAGAGCCGTCGGCGGCGGAGGAATGGGATTGATCTGTTGCGACAGAATTCAGTGAGAAGGAGGTGGGTTCGAAAGGCAGCAAGTGGTAGCTGAACGACGGGTCGTTTTCCACCTGAGCTCGGAGGTCTTCCCACTCGAAGTCCTTGCTGAAGTACTCTGCTTTTCTCATTGGAAACGGAGAGACTGTAATTCTGCTGATAGCGAGCGATGTCCGGGGTTGGAGAAGGAGGACTTCCAACAGCAGCTGTTTGAAACATAAATTGTTAAAAAAAATAAACAAACAGTTCGCAATTATATTACTATTTGTAAATAAATACACTTAATTTGTAATTCAATAGTATAGTACTCTAGCTTTTGCTAAGACCGTCTAACGAGACCTTTAGTTGAGGCAAGTGAAATTTAATCGCATTAAAAGTTAGTCCACGAAGGTAATAAACATGGAATTACATTAACTCTTAGTTCAAATCAATCTAGTGAAACCTAATAAAGGCAAATAAACGCGTCTTGAATTCTCTTTCTCGACCTAATTAACCGTTCTTTCTAAACTCTCCTCGACCCTCGAATTCCCTATATATCCTTTAGTTTTCTTGCTCCTACATCATCCTCTTAATTTGGAAATTTTTTTCTTTGTGCCCGTAACATAAGTGATACACCACGTGTTATAATCTAACTGGTGAAATTTTTTATTTTTTATGTTATTACTTTTTTAACACAATAACCTCACCACTTGCATAAGAACACATAATGTACCACTCTGTATTTCGAACATATTAAAAAATCTCTCGTTAATTTGCACGATAGGTTCTACCATGTCAATGTCAAACATCCAACCGGAGCAACAGATTTCTACCATGTCAATGTCAAACATCCCACCGGAGCTACTCATTGACATCTTTTCCCGGCTGCACCGCAGGGATGTTTTTTTTTTTTTCTTTTCCAAAGGTAAGAATTTTATTAAATTCGAATGGAAACGCATGGACTTGCACGCGTATTTCCAAAGCATAGACGCATAAATTAATTTGGAGAAAATAAACCCTTAAGTCCGCAAGATAATCAAAATGCTCACAATACACTCATGTATCTTCTTCCTTTTCCAACCAAAATTGTGTTGTTTTTTCGTGTGCAATTGTTCGAAAAAATGAATACCACCACCACCCTTTCCGGCTTTTCCCCGCTCTCATATTTACACGACGGAGAACATGCGATACACATCACACTGTCCGCAAGAACCCTCGGACTTCAATCAGGAAACTGTTGAGATTTTTCCTGAATACTTGATGGTTCTTACGATCAAGGGTAGATGAAAGCTGATTAGCGCTTGTAAGACGCTGCAATGCATTTGTCAACCGCGATTTCAAGCTTGCATTCGCCTGCCTCTCAATCAATTCACTGCCTAATCTCTGCACAACACCGGCTCTTCAGTAAAACGTTCATTTTAAGACGGAAAACAACGAGAAAAAGTATATTTAACGAACTGACTTCCACTTGAAAGAACCGGTCTAACATTATAGATAGAGCTTCAAGAGAACGAACCTGGTATAGGCTTTGTTCGCAAAGTATTAGCGGAAGAAGAGCATCTGCTGCACCGCTGACCAGGTCAGGACTGAAATCATGAACACGAAAGTGTTTAATTAAGATAGCAACAAAAGCAACGTGATCGACTCTCATAACCATAAGGCGTGCCTCATGGTTGCTTCAAGGACACAAGCAAAAACTCTTATTCACCAGTAAATGGAACTTCTACATTTACCTATAATCCTCAAAAAGGAGCAACTGCAGCACCGAGCGAAGGAACCGGCTCAAAATGCCTTCTTGAAAATTTCCACCAGAATCCTTTAGACCTGCAGCATGTGAGCCCAAGCCTACTTTGCCAGCACTTGTTTCCTTATAGTGGTACGAAGCAAGAGCTCTCAACGCTCTCAAACACATATCAACTATTTCCATGTCCTAACCAAACAATAAAACATACAGGTCGCGTCATTAGAGGCAGTGGCTTGGCAACCGATTTTCTTGTATAAAGAAACAATTGTTGTGCACTGTTAACATTGGAAACTATTATTTAAAACATAAACTACCTGATGATGAAGGCCAAACTCAAGAGTTCCTAGTACATGAGAAAACGCGTCGCTGTTCAATTGTGCAACGGTTTCAGGATAGACCTCCAATAAATGTGACAGCAACGAGAAGTACTGCACAAAAATAACACCACATATTAGCTTCATGATAAGTATTAAAAAAACAGAAAATGAAAATCAGGGGTCTTTTTCCTTCATGAAGGATAGAATATCTCACATCATAGCAGAACTTGGGGTATTTAAGCAGGTCCAAAGATAGTAGAGGAGTAACTATATGAAGACCAAAGTAAACGACCTGCAAGAGTAACGTATCAGATACTGTCTCTAATTTTGTCACAAGAATGAGATGCAAAGTTACCTGAGATATGTTTGTGCCCTGTGTCTCTGTAGAATCTGATGAAAAATCAACCTGTAATAATGTATTCATCAATAGGTTCATCCAAAGATCAATAGTAATGACTAAACAAACAACCGCAGTGCAAAGATAGAGTTTAAAAATCATACCAGATCTTTGGAACAAAGGCTTGAAAGGAGCTGGAGAAGAGCACGTAGATCCTTGTACTTCTCAGTCTTTGCTTCAGTAAGTAAGCTGCTTGACAGACTTATTGATATCTGGAAGCACCACGAAGAAGTAGAGTGTCACAGGAAGTTAACTGTTTATCACAACCTAAGCGGGGGTATGGCTGCAACGATCATGATTTAAGTAAATACCTTGCCAATATTGTTTGATGAGTAAAGCTGAAGCAAACTCATGCAGAAGTTAACAACAGTAGCGGTCTCCTGAGGCTCTAGATAGCTTATTTGTCCATCCACCCAGGCGACTACAAACTTAAGTATCAGATACACAACTGCAGACTGAGCAATAGGTTACAGGTTACATCGTAAGGGAATATAAATATTTAAGAGTTTTTGGGCTTCAAAATCAATGCCTCAAATACGAAGAATACCTCGTGTTTGTAGACCTCCAGAAGAACTAGAACAGGATTCATAACAGAGAATCCGAGCTCATAAATCGCTTTTTGTGTACGAGGTTCTGAGGCACTCGCGGCCCCCCGTAGCCTCTCCAGAAAGCAACTGACCTACAAGAAGCTGTGATGTTATATGGCTCTTGTAAAAGAATTAATAGATTTTTTCCTTAGAATTTCTGTACTCACCGTCAGGATAATATCTGGTTGTTGAGCAATGTTTTTAAAGTCAGATTTGCTTGTCATTTCTACAAGATACGTTGCCATATGACTCATGAGATCCCTCACATACCTTAATAAAAGTGTTACACAAAAAATCAGTAAGACGTCATAAATTTCAAAATAAAGGATACACAACAAAGGAAACTTAAAATTGGAAGACCTACAGGTTGGATGCCTCTGAGTTGCTCATGCCAGAAGCTGAACGAACAAGTGTCTGAGCAAGTGAACGCTGGAGCAAAAGAACGAACATATTAGCTAAACACAATCCAAAATAACAAATAAATCCAAGTCAAAGCATATCAAATTCTCACCTGGTGAGCTGTATTTAACAAGAACAAAGTCTTTTCATTAGCAAAAGCTTTTGCTAGGTCACGCCATGAGTCCTGAGAACATAGTTAGAAAATCAAGTATTATGTCTTCGATATAATGAGATAACAAATACTTCACGTCAAACTTAATTATAGATAGTTTTTGTAATTCTTAGCAAGAGAGGTAATGCACCAAAAGTTTTTGTAATTAATGGGATATACTTATCTAACTCACAAATGCAACAACAACAATAACAATAATAAGAAGAATAGTGTATTTTATCCATTTCGAAGAATAAAAGCAGATGCACTTATCTAACTCACCAATGCAACAAGGTGAACACAAATATGTTTTTGCTGCACAAGGGAATGAAGTAGCTGGAAACAAGTGATTGCCTGTTAAACAAAAACTGAAAAGCGTCAACCACCACTGTTTTAATCTGGACAAGTGTTGAATCAGATTGCCCTGTTAACTTCTCTCAGTATGTATGTAAACAATGGAAGTAATGTCTGAAAGAAAAACGTACAACATCAAAAACAGCCACCATGAAAATGGTTTTGTAGCACACACCTGCAGATCCTTTTCCCCAGGATATGACGCCAAGGTCGTCAAGGATATGCGAACAATAATGTCAAGCACAAATTTTCCCTGATTATGTTGTCCAAAAAACCCAAGCAAGACGTTTTTAGAGTTGCTTTCTCTATTTCCTTCGGGAGACATTAGGTACGTACAAGACCATCTTGCAAGGAACCATATAACAGCCTGCATGAAACATCAGCTCAAATAACTGAACTGGTAGGATGGATTGATAACAGCGAAAAGGAATCTCAAGGCAGCTGGTGAAAAAGCCAAGTTCTTTATACACCAGAAACCCTAACATTCTGTTGGTTCTGAGGACATTTGGTTCATTTATAGTTACACCAGATATGCATTTGACATCCATAATAATGAAATCCAATGCAAAGTAAGGTAGAAAGGCAAATAGCAGGGGTAATATGGACAACCCAAATGAATTTAGTGCTACCTCCATTAGTCGAGGACTGAAAACTGATGCTCTCATTTCTGGTTGTAAACTTTGCTCAGCAAACCTTATAATTGAGCTGCACAAATAATAAAAGCAAGATCATCAATTTGTACTTTTATGGATTGATATAGATCCTAAGTCTTCACTTGAAGCATCCACACGCTCAATATTTCCATTTATCTCATCATAATCTTGGAAAATAAAGTTCAAAAAAATCTAATTTCATCTTTTGATAAACTGATATCCTACTATAGTAGTTGAGAGAAAGTGAAGACTCTACCTACAGAGGATGACCACAGGATGATTGTTTGCTTCCAGATTGTCTGGAAAATGAATTTGTATAGCATTTGGAATCTGAAAACAATGGAACCAATAATCAGAATTCAAAGTCATAGATCGGCCTGCACCATGTCCAAAAAAGTAACAATGGGATTTATTCAAAATGAAGGTACAGACAGTAGATGTGATATTTAAGAGTTTAATTAAAGATATAAATTAATGGGAACCCTCTGGAAACTAAGAAATTACACAATACAATAACCAACCTTTTGGTGTCTGTTGAGTGTCAACAAACTAGAAGACAGTTCAGCACGCTCGAACATACAAGAAACAATCACTAAAATCAAGTAAGCGAATAAGCAGAATTAATTGAATCATTACCAGTGGTGTTTCTCCCTCCCCTTCATCAGCGATCACGTGCCCAGTGATGAGTAACAACGAGTAAAGCTCCTCCAAAGTTTCAGTTGGATCAATAATGCCCCTGCCCTGTAAACAAGTACATAGCTTTTTCAGTAACAGGATGCAAACGGACAAGGCCTTGAAATAAAATAAAAAGGAGAAGAGAATTGAAAATATAAAAGAAGAAAATCAGATCATTTTTTTATAGTAGAGAAATGAGTTCATATTGAAAAGAAGGAAACTAATGTGGTAAATTTGAAGTTCCAAGTTTTATTAGAAATTCAGTAGCTTTCATTAACTCACGAGCTTTTCAACGTGCTTAAGAAAATGAGTTGGCATTTGACAAAAAAAATTAGTAGCAACTACAATAAATTTTTTGCCACTTTTCTTAGTAAAGTTTTATAGGATTCAAGCCAAGAAGCTTAATAGAATAGAATTTATCGAAGGCCAATATATGTAACAAATGTTCTTCAGCACCAATATTTGGTTCGACAGAGATAATTTTTCACAAATAGAGAGGTAAAGAGCACCTGATTAAGCCGTTCAAAGAGCTCAGTAAAAAGGCTTGTGAGAAAAGGAATGGTGACATCAATTGCTGCTCTAGCAATAAGAGCATATGAGCTTAACCTCTCATCCAGGGCTGCATTTATACAGTAGAAACGTGAATAAAATTTAAGCTACGATGATGATGATGATTGTTATCTTAAAACTAAAAACCATGCCACTATCCGTGTTCTTGTTTTGAAAATGTTTTAAAAAGTCAACCAATGTATTATAACGAAAGGAGGAGTCTTATATGCAATTCTCAGAGCTTTCTCCCATACCTACAATGGAAGCCTGAAGGTAGTCGGAGTCATCATCTTTAAATGCTGATGCAGAAGCAGCTATATCACAAAACATTCACCATTATGTACTGATAGTTGAAAAGAAAAGCAGGAAAAATGGTGGTAGAACCAGTGCAACAAGAAGAACAAAGTAATATGTCAGATTACCTTTTAGTTCAGCCTGTACAATCAAGGCAAATAAATTAGCAGTGTCATTTTTCCCTTCGGCTGGAAGCAATGCATGCCCACCACTTCTATTAACTGGCTGAAGAAATGCCAAAAGAAAAATGAAGACAGAGAGAAAAAAAGCCTCAACAACTCCCTTCAACTTTAACATAATTTGAGCAAATTACACATTCCTCATACTGATCAAACTCCATTACAAAGAAACTATAACTAACATTTTCATTCAAAACTATAGTTCCAGTAACCCAGAACGACAATTAAACACAACTAGAATAAAATACAAATATAATATTTCAAATTTGGTATCAAAAACTGATTAAGAGAACAATAAGTTCAGACTGTCTCACAAAGATGGGGAGAAAATACAATTGTCTCCAAAGTAAATAATGCATAATTGTGCATAAAAAACAACATTTACCACAAGAAGGGCAGTCCAGGTATCTAGCAAAATGTCACGTGCCTCCCAGCTCCATGTCTCTTCCTCAGAGTTATTAGTCATGAGGTTCTTAATAACATCAGACATCAGTACGCACAAGAAGGTAAGAGTGCCATAGGGCCTGAGTTCCAAAGCAAAAGGTTGACCCAATTCAAACTAAATAACATGCGACAGCATAGAAGAAGTACCTTATGATAAATGATGAAAACTCATAATCAGAAACCAAACCACTGACCTTGTTGATTTTAACAGTTGGTCAAACACAGAGGGAGTTGTAACAGTTGCAATGGACAACAAAGCACGACAACCGTCAAGCATCTCGCTGAAGAAATCCAAAATGAAGATGAGAAATTGTAATAGCAAAGAAGCATGATAATTTGGCAGGAGGGAAAAGTAATTTTCAGGGATATAACCTTTCGCTCTTCCCACATTCAATCGCTTTAGAAACAGCATCAGGAGGATCAAGCCATGGTATTATTCCACAAAGCAGTTTGAGAAGGTGGTGTTCTTGCATTTGTACATTGTCTAGATCATTGAACAAGTTATTATCTTGCCAGATGAAAGACAGATATGGAAACTATATAACTAATATCACATGAGAAGTTAACTTCTAGGCCTTGTTAACCGTCAATAGTCATCAACTAAACATTCAAATCCAAAAACTCCATTTAGGTTACTAAAACTATCTTATTCAAAACTCCCCCTCAATGTCTAGTGTCTACAGAACTTCTACTACCCCCAACATGTATTCATTCTTTCCAGCCAAACGTTGAAAAGAATAAAAGCCGAATTCCTTTCAGAACTTGAAGGTGAATGATAGGTTCACAAGGAAAAACATCATTGCCCATCAACTTACGTCCCATATTGGCATTTACAGTAATAGAATCCTAGAAAAATGTACTACACAGGCATTCATAGTTTTGACTAAAATAGACAAGCATCTGGCACACTCCATCATATTAATTTCATCATTATTCATATAGGAAAAAACGAAAAACATGCTACAGTTATAGAACAGGTAGAACAGGAAACAACTGTACCAGATGGAAATATGGTTCCTGTCAGGGAGCAAAACTGTACAATTAACTTTCGGGCAGTAACAGCTATGGGGCAATCAAGCCAATAACCTTCACACAGAAACTTCTGCCTTAGAGCGCCATATAAGCTCAAGAGCCACCCTATATGGCCACTAGAAACCAAAACATCACGCCAAGCTGGACCAGGCTACAAGTAGGATAGATGGACAGAAAACTCGTCAATCTAAACCACACCAAGACCATGCCATATTTCAGTATGGTTGAACATTACGCGGTTAGAGGATTTTAAGAAAGTGCAAATGCATTTCTGCCAAAAACAGCAGTAATAGGAATAAGATTATTAGTATCATGATTATATTATCTTATTTTCTTCATACAAAACATTTATAACATTAGCTGATATTTGGTCAACTAATATGTTATTTCAGAAACCAGGAACAATCAAAAGAAAGGTGGTAAGCAGGAATGAGTTGGTATATCTATCAAGATGACGCATCCACACACTTGTGCTTTGTAGCATACCGACAACCTTTCTTTTTAACACAAATCTTAATGCTACTTTAAGGAAGCAATTACCTGCACCAAGTTACACTCGGACCTCTTAGGTGAATCACTGCCTTGCTTGACTCCAGCGGCAAATGTACTTGTACTGAATTCCCAATTCAGAATTTGAAGCATGAGACGCAGCGCAGCAGTACAGACTTTAACCTCAGGTACCGCAGAGTCAGACTCAACTATTCTATTTGTCACACTTAAAGCAGCATCTCTTGCCCAGCAATAGAATGTCTATTATTGAAATAACCAAAACAGCAATGTATAAGAAGAAAGAAATGAAATCAGGAAATACAAAAACATGCCTACATTCATTATCTCAATGGAAAATTTCTAGTCATACAAAAGAAACCGAATGTATCAAATGACATGATGCAAACAGCAGTAGTGAACCTTCAAATGGTCTTGCTCTAATGACTTCCGGCAATGCTCATGAAACTCTCTAGGAAGACCCATCGGACTTGAAGTAGACGGGGAAAATTCAGAAACCTAAAACAAAAGAAATCCATAGTCCTGAATTTGTCTTAAATGCTGAAGCAAAACCAATCAGAAACTAAATGATCTAAAAGGTGAAGTAAGCTTATACCAGAGATTCAATGAAATTAATTCCAGCAAACTGCACATCTACACCATGAATGCCATAAGCAGCCTGGTTTACCTGTAGTGATAATTGGCTGCTCTAAAAACCCTGGATACCTCGGAAGAAAAAAGAGGTCCAGTGTAGAAATTTCGTACCTGATAGAAAAATGCCTCCTTATCACTAGCTGAAAATTCAAGCCTGCACATCATAGTTGGCAAAATAATTATATTTCCAAAGTTTCATTTTCTTCATAACCAAACCAAGAATTTATGCAGAAGTGCAACAACAGCAGCTCCTGAACATTAACGGAGGGAAACTGTTACAGAGAACACTAAGCATTTCCCTCAAAATCATCAACTCAAGCAGAAGTGAAGAAAGTCATCCTCTAATTATGAAACTATTTCTTAACTCAGTTTGGCTTTCACCTTGTCAGCTTTTCAAAGGAAATGACCACATTGTATTCCAAATTTCCAACACACCATCTTACTCATCCCAAGCTTGTTTCAGAATTCACTTAATTTCTACGTTCGCCTCTCTGGAAATAGAATATTCCTCGACTCAGGTCTATGTTTTTTAAGAACTGGACTGCTTTACTTCCCTTAGAAACATGAAATATGAAAGCGAAGAATTACAATGTGTGGTAATTCAGGTTGAATACTGTGTCCAAGATAGGCTCATGTTCATAATTGCAAGATACGAATCAGAAGAAGTAATAACATACAAATACATAACATGTGCGTTTACGTTGAAAATCATGCACCACTTACCAGCCCCTTTTCAACAATTGAGCAGCCACAGAAGATACCTTTGCTTGGACATAGCCCTCAGGTGAATTAGCATGTTGCATAACAAAACAAAGACAAAAACTGCAAGAAAAATATATATAAATATATTCAAGGAATGATGGACAAATGTATAGGCTAAGATACGACATTATATATGATAAGAACTATACCAAATAAGCTATTTCGTGAAAAACTCTAATTGTGAACTAATATTATTACTTCTCTTTTTTCTGAAGTAATTAAACTTTAATAGTTGAGGAATCGTTTATCAATATTGCTTGGAAATGAAGAAAGAAGCTATGAAACCTGATCATGCTTTTCTTGTCATCAGAGCTAAGAGAACTCCATTCTCTAATTGCTGCATTTCGAATTGCAGCTGCAGCCTCAAACCTTGCATTTGCCACTTGAGAGTTCTCTGAATTTATAAAATCACTGTTAGCATAATAACTAGATGGGACATCTTCAAAATGACAATATAAGTTCTCCAAACTCCGTATTGTTGGTATTGAACCATCAAATACAGCAATCCTACTTTCATTATTATCAGATCATGTCATGAGGCAAATACATAGCTAATTATGGAATAAAAAAAACCAAAATTTGTGTCTACTTTAACTTACCAAGAATGAATTTACATGCCTGGTATGGTTGGGGGGTCTGGGACAGCGACAAAATAGTTGCCTCAGCTGCAGCCGAATTCATATGCATCTGCTCAAGGTTAAACCATATGTAAGAGGGAGGGTGTTTGTGCACAAATGTGCATGCCTTTAAAAGCACAGATACATGTATACAGGTATATATAAACGACAAAACAGCACCCGACCAGCCAAAAAAGGAACAAAAATATAAAATGGAAGTGCAAAATGAAGCTAACATTCAAACCATTATGCAATGTTGCCAGAAATGACCAAAAATATTTATTCAAGTTCACACTTTTCCACAGTAAAATACACAAGCAAAAGGCCGCTAAAACTGAAAACAGGATTGCAAAACTAACAACCATTCACATATTGTACTCATACATTACAAAATTCTTTCAGTATTATCACGTCATTTGGCATCCAAAATTTCAACTTTTGCAGTCTCTAGTATAATCCAAATTCCTCAAACTCACTAAACACATTAACAAAAAGCTAAACGAGACATCAAAGGTTGCGTTCTTGGATAAATTTTCCACCATTTCTGCTTTCATGCCCAACTTTCCAGCAACTGGGAATGTGGGTTTTTCGTGTTTTCGACCAAGTCTAGTTCTTGTTCGTTTTCTCATAAAAAACCATGAATTAAAAACCCAAAAAAAAAGAGTGAGAAAAAAATTGAACCTGAATGGAAGTGCAGGCGAGCTCGATGGTGTGCATGGTGGACTGCAGCTGCCCCAATTCCGCCGCTTTTCCTACTCCCTCTGGAAATCCATGCATCTTTTTCCTCACCCAAAATCCCGCTGTTCAAAACAAATAAAAAAAGTACACAAGTCACTGAATATTCATACAGATATGCCTTGGATTCAATCCAATGCTTATTGATTGTTCTTGAGTGGCTACAGGAACATTGCAAGAACGGATTGAACTTGGTGATTAATGAAATGAGATAAAGAATTAATCTTGGTGATAAGTACCTAAGAGGAAAAGATTAGATCACCAGAGAGAGAGAGAGATGGAGGATTAGTATTTGTCTGCAAGAGGAGTTGTTTCAGAGAGCAAACGTGAGAGGAGAGAGAGAGAGAGAGACTGAGAGGGAGTAAATAATGTGATATTTCACAGGGCTTTTCTTTTAAAGGTGGCTGTTTTGGGTGGACATTTGAACCTATTAACTTGTGAACCGAACCGAACCGAACCGAGTTCATTGGTTCAGTTTTGGCTTTATGGTTGTTTATATGTCTGTTTTTTCCGAAGATCTCACGCAAGAATAAGTGAGTGGCGTTATGGAAATCATATAGTCAATAATACGTTTATCTTAATAGTAAAATCGATAAAATGTTTATATTTTTTCACTTCTTGATTTTCTCATTACGACTTTTTATTTTTCGTTTTTCATCTTTTTCATTATCCGTCTCTTATCTCTCACTCTCTCTCTCTCTTCCCCAAACAAAAAAAAAAAAAAAAAAAACCAATTTTATTAATCTATCTTCGGCTTTTGAAATAAAAGCGGTCTGAACCGAATTGTGCTCATCTCTCTATTTGATTGAGATTGTTTATTTGTTTGGGCATAATAAGGTAAATTTACCATTTTGAGTGGAGGAATGTCTAATTTTATCAAGTTCAGTGGGGGTTAGTGCAATTCATTAAACATATAATTTGACCTCTGATTGCTAATTTGACAAAACCCTAGTCCCTAGTAACGTCCGCCTTCTCGACTTTATCAGCATCAACGAGCTTTTCCTTCCATTACCCTTAAAAAAAAAAAACAGAGCTTTCTTTCATCTCTCACTGCTACACAGAAGCACCGACCTAAAACCCACCGTCAAAGTACGCATCTTTCTCTCTCTCTCTCTCTCTATATATATATGTATATATGTATGTATGTTTTTATACGTATTTGTATACGTTTATTTGGTTTTATATTAGATGCGTTGCAGTGTAATGAAACTGTAAAAGCTGAAGCTGAAATGGGTCTGAATTCTGATGTGGGTTAGTGGATTGGCCTAAGGGCTCGTTTCTGATTGCTATTGAAGCACTTCTGCTGGAAGTGTTGAAATTTTCACTGAAAACCAAAGTGCTTCCTGAAAAGGCAAAGCGCTTGGAAAAGTGCTGTTTGGAGAAGCATCTGACACGTGCTTGACGTAGAAGCACTTATAACTATTGAAAATAAGAAAAGAGAAATTGGGGTGTTTGAATTTTGGTAAAGAATGGAACTTTATTTTGAATTATCTACTGTATTGATAACCCATTTCACAGTTGGGACTTTGAACTTGTTATCCTTCATCTAGGAATGAAATACATACATATATATATGGTGAGCTGAAAGTTTTTTTTTTGTTCGTATTGTTTTCGTAATTGTGTTTGGTTAATTCCTTTGCCTCCTTTTCGTTTCATGAAATTTGTTGGTATTGATATTTTTTCATTGAACCTTCTCACAGTTGTGGCTCTCAATCTGAAGGATAAGAGTATAGATAGCCGAATTACTTTTTCGCTTATTTCGCATTTGTTATAATCTGGAAGATGTTCATTGCTTTGGATCATAGTGAAGAGGGATAACTGGATTACAAGATTTGCTTCTTGTTGGTCTTCCTATCTTTGTTTGACTTCATTTGTTCAAGCTGAAGGAGATAAATGGCGTGTACGATTACCCAACAGAGTAGTGCAGTTGATGTTGGTTGTTTGTATGGGTGTGCAAAGCAAGTTAGCCCCGGTTGTGGCATTGGCCATCTCTCAATATCAACAGTTTTAAGGAAGTATAATCGTGAAGCTCATTATTCTTTACAATGGAGAGGAGATGTTAGTTCCAAAAGAAATGCGGGTGTTTCACAGCGTAGGAGTTTTCAGCGAAGTGTTTGTATTGATAGAGTCCATGAAGTTCCCCTAGATGAATGGAGCTTTGATAGTGATGAGATGGGCATTGAGAAAAAATCTGGAGAGGAAACGAATAACAAGAAATCACATAATGCTTTTGTATCGAATGTCGAAGGGCGCTTTGTGGGAAATGCTGAGGAGACCAATAATGATATTCTTAGGAACCTTTGCACCCGTGGGAAGTTAATTCATGCATCGAGGTTGGTTGAGGTCATGGCACGTCAAAACCAAGTTCCGTACTTCCCTTCTTGCACAAACTTAATACGGGGCCTTATCAAAATAGATCGATTAGATAAAGCTGAAAAAGTTCTAAAGATCATGATCATGTCTGGTGGGGTTCCAGATATTATCACATATAACATGATGGTTGGAGGTCTATGTAAGAGTGGACAGTTAGGCTCTGCAATCGATCTCGTGGAAGACATGAGCGTGAGTGGTTGCCCTCCTGATGTGATTACTTACAATACTATAATTCGTTGCATGTTTACTTTTGGGAATTATGATCAGGCGATTGCGTTTTGGAAGGACCAACTGAGAAAGGGATGCCCTCCTTATATAGTCACCTACACAATTCTCATTGAGCTAGTCTGCAGACACTGTGGAACGATGCAGGCTGTGGAAGTTTTGGGTGATATGGTGGCAGAGGGATGTTATCCTGATATTGTTACCTTCAATTCTCTGATTAACTTCACTTCCAGACAGAATAAGCTTGAAGATACTGCTTTGGTTATACACAGTCTTCTATCTCTGGGGTTGAAGCCCAACACCATTACTTACAACACGATTCTCCATTCTCTTTGCAGCCGTGGGTGTTGGGAGGAAGCCGATGAAATCCTCACAATCATGAATGAAACTTCCGAACCCCCTACAGTTGTTACTTACAATATTTTGATCAATGGTTTGTGTAAATTTGGGCTTGTAGATCGTGCCGTCAACTTCTTTACTCAAATGGTTTCTAAGAATTGTTATCCCGACATCATTACATATAACACACTCTTGGGCGCTCTTTGTAGGGCGGGAATGATTGATCAGGCCCTCGAATTACTTAATCTTCTAAGTGGCACCAGTCGATCGCCTGGTTTGATAACTTACAATACTGTGATTGACGGATTGGCCAAGACAGGTTGTATGGAGAAAGCAATGGGATTGTATGGCCAAATGGTAGAAAATGGAATCATTCCTGATGAAATTACTCATCGTTCTTTGGTAGGTGGGTTTTGCCGGGCAAATCTAGTTGAGGAAGCTGTTCTGATACTGAAGGAGATGCATAAGAGAGGCCATCCGGTCCGTAATATGTCTTACAAATTTGTGATCCATGGATTATGTAGAAAGAAGAGAGTTGATATTGCAATACAAGTCCTAGAAATAATGATATCAAATCGAAGCATGCCAGACGAGGCAATTTATTCAACTATAATTGAAGGTGTAGCCGCTGCTGGTATGACAAAAGAGGCCAATGAGTTGCATCAAAAGCTGATCGAGTGGAAGGTTTTAAGTGAAGAGATCATGGTAAACTAGATCAGGTTTAGGCAAAATTTTGACTTTGTTACTTCTTCTGGGCATCTAGATTGCCATTTCTCAACTGCTTTTCTCTGATAATGTTTTGCCAGAAATCTTTTCTGCTTGATAATTTCTGTATCTTTTTTTTCCCTTTGATACGAACGATATTCTACACTGAATTCATCTTTAAATATGGCCATTTTTCTTGATATCTTACCTTTTCGTTCGTAGATTTTATTTTTTCAGTACTGAATATCTGTTCTTTTTCTTGGTGAAAGTTCTGTTGTAAAAGATCTGCTTATCTACGTTAACTAAGAACACAAGTTTGTCAAAGTAAACTCATTTACGTGGACTTGATGCTGTTCATGTTTTTGCTAGATAGGAGATATTTAGAGTTTCAGACATTCTTCGCTGCTGAAGCGAATTATCTGTCGGAAAATAGATACGAAAAACGGAGATAAAATAGGAGAAAACATGTCTGTAGAGCAAAAGTTCACAATAAATTTTGCTAAATCTCCTTTTTCTGTGTTCCAAAAGAAAGATCAACACTGTGATATAAAATGCCAAATCTGCCCTGCAAGGCAGTTCTCTCATTAGTAAGTGAATATAGGCTTCTGCTGAGCCTAAAATAGTCTTTTAATCCAACTAATCCTCTTTGTAGCTACAAACCAAAAGCTAGTTCTTAATCTCAGACAGAGTAAGCTCTTTGTACACATCAAGCATGGGAAAGGTCCTATTCAAACGTCTGAACGAATCTTCGGAAATCGCCCTTAAACTAAAAACTGAGTGGGCAAGTTGCATCGCTTCAGCTCGCCATCCTGCGAAACCAATTCCTTCAATCAACAAAGTGTAGGTAGTTTCATTTGGCCGGCACCCCTTTTCAACCATTGCCGCGAGCACTTCAATGGCATCGACAATCCTACGCGTTTTGCACAACCCGAGAAGAACGATGTTGTAACTGATAACTGTTGGCTGAAAGCCACCAGTTTCCATGTCTACCAACAACCCTATAGCCTCATTCACCATCCCATCTCTGCACAAACACGATATAAGCGAATTGTAAGTAATCCCATCGGGATCAATTCCTTTGCTTACCATTTCTGATACCATTTGCAAAGCTCGAACTCTGTCTCCACAGTTCCACAGTGCACTGAACATGGTGTTGTATGAGCTCACATTCGGAGGACATCCCACTTCACCGAGGTTCTCGAAGATTTGCAAAGCCTGATCAGCCTTTCCACTCTTACACAAAGCAGCCAATATCGTGTTGTAGTTCACAATATCCGGCAAGCAGCCATCCGATATCATGTAATCCAAAAACTCTATTGCCAAATCCAATCTCCCCTCTTTGCAGAAAGCAGAAACCAACGGATCATAACTGTACGCATCCGGAGTCAACCCCTTGTCCTTCATGATCTTTAACACATTCACTGCATCCTCGACTTTGCCATCGCGACACAGCGTGCTAATCAAAATGCTGTAAGTCACCACGTTCAGCTCACAGCCTCTCGAGCACATATTGCTCACCAGCTTCTCCCCTTCTTCCCATTTACCTCGATTCAATAGCGCTCGTAACAAAATGTTGTACGAGACGACATTAGGCGAACATCCCTTCAAATCTAAGCTCCTAACAAACTCGAAAGCCCTATCCAGCATCCCTTCTCTGCACATTCCCCTAACAACTGCATTGTAAGTATGCATGTCAGGTTTAAGCCCTCTTGACAACATCTCATCCAAAAGCTTCATTGCTTCATCAATTCCGCCTTCAGGAATCGTTGCTTCGATCAAAATCGTGTAAGTAATCACAGTTGGCCTGCAATTATCCTTCACCAACTGATCCAAAACCTTCAAAGCTAATCCTAGCTTCCCCCTCCCACAAAGACTCCCAATCATTATATTGTAAGTAACAACATCAGGTGAGAACCCCTGGCTCCTCATCCTATCAAGCACTTTGTTTGCTGCATCAATCCGATTTGCCTTACAGAAACCGCTGATCAACGCATTGTATGAAAACAAATCAGGCTCACCATACTTCTCCAAAATCTGCATAACCCGAACGGCCTTCTCGACATTTCTCGAATTGAAGAACCCTTTGACGAGCTTTGTGCAGAGAATCACATCAGGCTTGTAGCCCTTGTTCACAATCAGCTCAAGAAAATAGAGTGCTTCATTGTACTGCCCTGCTTTGCAGGACCTGTTGAGGACTTTCACCAAATGGGTTTCTTTGACATCATTGTTCTGCAACTGGGTCGGTCTTGCTTCGGCGGAAGCCGCCGCCTTTGACGGATTTCTGCGGCGGTTTCCGGCGTTGGACGAAATGCAAACCCTGCATCTCAAGGCACTGGTTTGGCGGGAAGAGGGTTCCACCAAATGGGTTTCCTTGACATTATTGTTCTGCAACTGGGTCGATCTTGCTTTGGCGAAAGCCGCCGCCTTTGGCGGGTTTCTGCGGCGGTTTCCGCCGTTTGACGAAATGCAAACCCTGCAGCTCACGGCACTGGTCTGGTGGGAGGAGGGGTTCGGGTGGGTGGTGACGTGGAGGCTCTGAGGCAACAGCTTGGCGGCAACTGTTGTCATTGGTGGAGGATTTGTTGAGGTGTTTTTTCAGCTCTCATGGAGAAATTGTTTTTGCAGAAAGTTTGGAGATTTGCATGGAGAAAATTGGAAACATGTTGGGAGATGGATATCATAGACAATGATTCCGGTTGGATTTCAGGACGTGTTTTGGATAGGATAAGGAATCTGGTCGCGCGTTGTAACTTGCAGATGTTTTTGGTGTTTTGGATAGGATAAGGAATCTGGTCTTGGGTTGGGTTGGGTCCAGCAATTGGAGAAATTTTTGGGTCCGTCGTAGTTCACCCGATAAGAGATCGGGCATGTGCGACCATCCAATAAGAAGCTGCCACTAGCGGGGCGGCATGAACCCAATTACAGAAGAAATTTTTGGGTGCGGGTGGTTGTGCCACCTCAACCATCCACCCAAGACACAAAAACATCTCACCCAGGGCCACCTCTCTTGTATTCTGGCCCCATCGTTCGTGGTGCATCCGTTGGGTCTTTGGCCCAACATCCATGTACCATGGGCATCCGGTGAAGAACTCCAAACACAAGGGCGGATTTGTGAGCAAGGTAGTGCCAATGTGGGGGCATTTACCCTACGAAAGCTCACCCGCCGCACAACATAGCGATACCCCTTACAATGGGGTGGGTCGAGCATCAGGTTGAGTGGTATTTGCGTGTGTTACTCTTTATGTGCATGGCCAGACGGGTGATATAATCCACTAGCCAGACCTAACTCCAAAGATATTTTAGCTAGGTTCATGTTAACACAGTTGCCTTTACAAGGCTGCTTTGATACTCCAAAAATCCAGATAAGAAAACATCCTTCAATAACATGATATGTATTAATCATGATGTAAGACATTGGTACATTATAATTTGAACGATTCAAACGAAAAGAGGAAGAAGTTACAAGTTTACAACACAAAATGTGCTACACATATATTTTCCGGGGGCTAACTCTCGCTCAACTAATGTCCAGATGCTTCTACATAGCTCACTAAAGAATCCCAAGTTGAGGACCTCTCCGGGCACGCCTTATTCAACAGAGCTTTTAGGTTTTCGGTTTTCAGCTTCTCTTGAAATTCAATCCGTCGGGAATCAGGGATTTGCTGAGGCAGGTAAGAGCAACATAAGCATCCAGAAAACTTGATAGAACAGGATTGTGTAGAGTTGCAACAAAATTAAAACGGAGGGAAACTACTTTTACCTTAATCAACCATAATATATAAGTGGCAGAATGTTTAGCCTGTGCTTGGTAATCGTCAAAGCTATTATCTGGAATGATTGAGCAGGAGTCGAGGAGATGTAACTCGTTATCCATAAATATTCTGAAGTCGTTATTCATGCTGTTATTCTGCTTCCCGTGGCTGGACACACCACTATGATCTGTTATGAAATGCTTTATCCAAAATAAGGAAAGGAAGCGACGATGAAGCCATAGAGCCTGTTTACAGCGAATACCATAGAAATTAAAACCTGTGGGGTTCTCAGATGATCAGTCAAATATACGAAAACAACCCCATGTACCTCTCTTCCTATGTAGCGCTTTATCAACATTTCATCCCAGTCAAGCTCCTCCTGATATGCCCATATTTTTAAGCAGTGAATTTAAACTTAATTTCACATACAACGAAAAGACAAAAATTTGACACAAGTATTAACTGTACAAAGCGCTCGCCCGTAGGAACCGATGATTTCATAATTACTGAAAAGAGACTGTACCTTCCACAATTGATATGTTTCAACGTTGTAACCAGAAGATGAAATTTCTTGTTTATAGCATTGCTCTTCTAAAATCTTAAGCATCAGCTGCTGAAAAATGATAGAAACATTGATTGTGAAGGAATTAAAGTCCAGCACGTCAAAAACTTCATATCTCAGATTCACAACAAAAAGAAGACAAGGTCTCACACTGCGATAATGGAAGCAACTATGATCAGCAACATGCAAGGAGGCCCAGTTTCTGGATCTTTTTAATTCATATAACAACTGCAAGCACACATTTAGAGTGCATATAATTAATAATGCTAACCATACGAAAAATAGATATGTAATATAAGTATGTTGTTGGACTAAGAACTGAACGAAAGCAACAGTTAACTTGTAGATGTGTCACAACTTTTTAACAGAGGAAATCTTAATGACGTCTTTTGAGAATGAAAGGCTTAAATACAATCCTCCACTTACCCTGTCCAAATTTAAAGGAGTGCAATTTGGCTTAAAATTGTTCGCAAAACATTATAACATCTAAAATATGAAAATTCTAGAAGGGAACCTGAATTATTCCCGCAAAAGGAATGGCTGGATTATATCTAACCTGTTCTCTTGTCATGTAGGTAACCAACCAGCAACGATGATTCCAAGCACGGTAATTCATTTTTGACCTCTGTAAAAAAAGATTTTAATTACACAAAAGCGAACAATGAAAAGGAAAATTCTCAAACCATGGACACTGTACATTATGTCTGGCAAAGATACAACTATTATCGGCTCTAGTTTGGTACAGAAAAATTTGTCAGCTCAGTAGGAGCGACGGAAGGCATTTCTCAAGTCTTTAAAGTGGTGTGAGTTATGTTGTTTTCTTTATGAAAGCAACAACGAGACTGACCAAAAACAACACATAGGATAATTGATTTAAAGTTTAAATAAACCTTGAAAATTAAAAGCATGCAGTTCCTGAACTGAATTTAAACCTCAGCTATTTTCTCCACCAGCTCAGAGTCTTTGGTCACAATCTCTGACAGAGTTGAACACTTTCCAGCAATTGACTTGATGACCCACTGCCTGCAACGATCGATATGTTCATAAAATTCGTGTTTTTAAAGCCATTAATAGGGAAACGATAATGAGGGGCTCAATTAAACCACACCCTGCTGAGTACTTACAAATAAGAAACTATAGAATCATGCCAGTTGTTAAACATATAACGAAAACCATTTTTTTAAAGATGTTACCTATGGCTCCAAGCATACTCAGACTTAGGTGAATATGAAAGAACAAGTGCCGACAAGAGAAGTTCATCCAAAAAATCCGAGAGCTTATGCTTCTGCGACACAACAAGTTTCCTGGGTCAAATATACAAGATCAATTAGGTGTCATGACATAAATTGAAAAGCAGACAAGATCAAGCAGCTCCAAAATTGTTGATATATAAGAGAGAGAAAACAAGCACTACTGAACCAAAAATGAAAAGGGGGAAAAACCTGGAATGCCATGCAGTGCCGAAATCACAACTTAGCAACAAAAGCGCCCTGCTATGCTTCATGACATCACTTTCAAAACTGCTATCCAAAGATAATGACGCACACAAAGAGTTCTCATCCCCGGATACATCAGATTTTCTGTTAAGTGCCTTATATTGTCTACTTGCTGCCATAAACGCATGCTTAGCTGCCTTACATAATGGAAGAAGAATTTGCGTTGAAATCCCCAACTTATGATCCCTATTCCAAAAAACTGAGTTTCCATCTGCCGAGCGCAGCACAGTACTGTCATCAAATGAGGGTGAATGGCCTACCTCTTTATTCAGCTCGGAAAACTGGGACGGGTGAAGAAATCCCACCTCATCTCTGGGTCATCAAGTGAACACAATACATTATACATACGACGGTCGCATTACTAGTTTTTCCAAAGACATTAATGAGAGCCCTCTAAAAAGAGAAAACCTCTAACGCACCCACAAGTACACACACACGCCCAAACAATTCAAAAACTTTCAGCAAAAGAACAAGGCATACTTGGACCGCTATCGAAATCCTGGTCTCACTAACAGTAATGAACTAGCACTGAATCAACATCTTGAATTGAACTAAAACAGAATTGACCTTTTTCAAAAAATTTGAAATCCAAGTAAAATCAAGCTGATACTTTTACATGTAAACAACTCATTCGGGATCAAATATCCGAACTTTTCGAGACGGAAATTACAGTTTGTCGAGGTTCACCATCCAAGCAAAGAATAAAAACTACTTACACAAAACTCTTTGGGGCATTTCGTCAAACATAAAGTCTGCATCTTTACTGAAAACAGAGAAGCAAAACCTGCAATCAATGATTCTTTGATAGGATACAAGTACGAATTACTCACATTTGGGGATCGGATTCCAAGATACGTTCGAATTGATTCAGAAGATCGGCCATGGTTGCTTCCGAACGACGCAGCTCCTCTTCGTTCATATTTCCTGTTTGTTTCCCGAGAAAATTACAAGGGAAAATGAAACCATATACGTTGTATACAAAATGGTAAATTAACTCAACGTAACTACGTGAAAGATCCCTATTTGTTGGTGCAATAAATTGCAGGAAAAAGTAATGATCGTGGCCGTAGTGGATCCCAGCTTGAGCCTATACCGCACTGACACGTATACATCTTTCTTCGACCTTTCTTTTCTGTAGAAAATTTTGGAGCTGCTGTTGCTGTTCTCTCTCTCTCTACAAATCTCTCTCTCTCCTCTTTGGGCTAAAAGTGCATCTATCGCCGAAGGATTTTCTCTCATTTCCCCTCACTTTCTCTCCCGTTTTCTCGCAACCCAAACACTCCAATTCCTTAAGGATCTGGCGTTTCTTCCACTTCAAATCTCACCTTTTTTTTTTTTTTTCCAATCGCGCAAAAAGGCAGTGAGTTGGAACAAAATATAATCGAAAGGAAAGCACTTTGCGGGGATTGGGATTTCTGAATCAAGGGTTCCGTGATCTGTATATGCGTCTCAATGACTATGGAAATCGTGGTGGATGCGGCGTCGTTTGACGCCGACTTGTTGCAGCTCAATGAGGTGTCCCCTTTGGCCCTCAAATCGAATCCGAGCTACGTCGAATCGCTGTTCGAGCAGTGGCTTTCGCTTCCTGATACTAATCGCCTGGTACTTAAAACCCGAATTTTGCCTTCAAAATTTGAAATTTTTGGTGGTTTCGCATTGTTTTGGTTCTGCATCTAATTGGGTTTCGAAGAATTTATGGGTACATTTTTTGGTTTTTGAATTTTGGTGAGCTTGGTTTTTTGCTATTTATATCAGAGTTTCTGAATTTGCATGAATGTGTATATGTCCTTTGTGCTGGCGTGTGAAATGTCATGAGAGCTAAGAAATAATGATGCTGAATTGATTTTAGCATGTAGTAATTTTCCTGCTCGGCACGATGAAATTGTGATTAAAGAAGCATTAAAGGGCACATGTTAGTATGAAAAAAGGGATGAAATTTGTAAATTATAAGCACCTGGTGTTTACAATTCCGAGTACCTTAAAGTAGTTCTTGAAGTATTTGTAATTAGTTGTTGGAAATGCTACTGACAACAAGTTTTATTTTTCAATTGGGATACATATGCTGCACGTTTTTACGTATTGTTTCTTGCTTTTCTGATGCATGGCGGTTTTTTCATTCTCCTGAACTTATGATTGCAGGTGACACAACTGCTAACTGAAGCAAAGGCAGGTGGTCCCCTGAATGTGCAGGGAAACTCTTCTAGTCCACATGCCACTGGAGGCAGTACGTTGCCTTCCATGTTTCCAGCCGGCAGTGCACCACCACTGTCACCAAGAAGTTCATCTGGATCCCCTCGCATTATGAAACAGAGGATTGGTCCTTCTCATTTAGGTTCTCCGCTGAAGGTAGTTAGCGAGCCAGTTAAAGAAGTGATACCTCAGGTTTGACCAATCCTAATCTTTTTCGGCAATCTCGTGGCACTGTTTTTCTGTTTCTTTTGCAATGCATGTCATTCATCATTTGAACTATCTAGCTGCAATGGTTTTCCTTTTAGAGGGAAAGGTAGATTATTATTTCTAACTTGGATTTTGTACCACTTGTAGTTTTACTTTCTACATGGTCGCCCACCTCCAAATGAACTGAAAGATCAATGCTTGTTTAGAATCAATCAGTTTTTCTCTGGCAACTCAGACGGACTGCAGATTCATGGTAAGATATACTTAAGATATGAGTTTATGGTGTACGACTGGAATAAGATTTTAACCAGTCTCTTTGGTGTATCAGAATTTAAATCAGTTGCTAAGGATATCTGCAAGCTGCCTTCATTCTTCTCTACATCTCTCTTCAAAAAGATTGACGCTAATAGCACTGGATTTGTAACAAGGTAATATTCACTTTTGTCATTGCTTATGAAAGGATGTAGTTTCGAAGTGCTATCCCCACCCCTTTACTGTGGTTTATCTTATGTGCCACAACTATTATCCTCTACTATTAAAATGTCTTAGTTCTTGTTCACCAACCCTTTTACCCCCACTTTAAGGAGCATAAATCTTTCAGCCTGAAGTGGATAAACAATGCCCTTTATAAGGGTTGATTGGGGAGAAGGGGTTCAAGTGGCTTTCCCGGAGGCTTTTTTTTTCTGAGCTGACTTGTAGCCATCTCCTGGTATAAACTAATATGGTTACCTCATCTGACTAAAAGTTCCGGGTGACCCCTATCTGGTCATGTTTCTTTAGTTCTTCTCTCTGGACTTCGTTAATTCTCTTGTTATTAAAGCTTGGCTGTTTCCTTTGCAAACCATACTCTTACTTTTTTCTACTAATTTGTTTGTAGGGACACATTTATTGATTATTGGGTCACTGGAAACATGTTGACAATGGATATAGCTACTCAGATATATTCCATCTTAAAGCAACCAGATCTCAATTACCTCACTCAGGTTTTTGTCTTGCTTTATTTGTTTCCCTCGTTTATGTTTTATTGCAAATCTGTGCTCAACCTGATGTCTCTACAAATATGTATAATTAATCATTATACGATTAAATGCAGTGTTGATCATTAAAATTATTATGTTTGGTGCACTACCTAGCATCTAAATCCTGTTCCTGTTTGATAACAGGATGACTTTAAACCTGTCCTTCAAGAACTTTTGGCAACTCATCCAGGGTTGGAGTTCTTGCAGAGCACACAAGAGTTTCAGGAAAGATATGGTTTGTTCTCCACCTACAATCAGCCTTTTCTTGATACCATATGTTTGTCGAGTTTTCCATTCCCCTCTCTCCTCCTCCTTTGTTTTCTCCCTTCCTCCCACTTAGGCTGTTTTAGTATTGCATTTTCACTGTGGTTATGATTGATGCAATTCCTTTCGCATGATGCACACGTTAACTTGAGATATTCTTGCAAATGGTCCAGCTGAAACTGTAATATACAGAATATTTTACTACATAAATAGATCTGGGAACCGTCAGCTCACACTCAGGGAGTTGAAGCGTGGAAACTTGATTGATGCAATGCAACATGCAGATGAAGAAGAGGACATCAACAAGGTTTTGAGGTAAAGATTCTGGATACAGACTTAGTCTGTGTTACTATAGGCTATAGGGTGTGGCCGGTAGAATTAGGAACCATCATGCCTGTTTTCTTTCACACAATCTGGAATAGTTTGCGGGAGTGTTCCTCACTGTATGTTGGTGTGTTTTATGTGATATCAGTGATTTTTGGTCTTCGAAACTCCTTGTTTCTTATATGATCTGTAACAGGTACTTCTCGTATGAGCACTTTTATGTGATATACTGCAAGTTTTGGGAGCTGGATACAGATCATGATTTCCTGATCGACAAAGAGAACCTGATCAGATATGGTAACCATGCACTTACCTACCGGATTGTTGACAGAATATTTTCTCAGGTTTGTCATGAAGCTTTTGTTTACCAACTTTAAGAAAAGGTTCTCAATCAATAAAAGCTTAAACCTTGATCTATTACCTCTCTCTCTCTCTCTCTCTCTCTCTCTGAGGCATGCAGTCTGATTTATGTAATTAATGAGTTTATTTTTTTGTTTCTCAGGTCGCAAGAAAGTTTACGAGCAAGGTTGAAGGAAAGATGGGGTATCAAGATTTTGTCTACTTCATTCTCTCGGAGGAGGATAAGACTTCTGAGCCTAGCCTTGAGTTCTGGTATATCTTTACCTCTTATCTCTTTTAGTCAGTAACTTGCTTCACAAGACTTAGCAGTCAAGTGTAATCATGGGTAATGCAGCAATATAAGATGGAAGTCCAAGTGGAACATATGTGCTGGGTAGTTTGATGGAAAAAGTGGAAAGATTACAAAATACGTAAAAATGGGTTTCCACCATTGTTGTATTAATTTTCTTAATCAGCCTTGTTGATTCAACATTCATTTAAAGTCAGCCATGCACCAAAAAGAATTAGGCTAGTCAGGAACGAATTGTGATTTATTTCTAAAAAGAATAAAGATTAAATCAATCATTGGATGGGTGAATTCAGTTGCCTAATAATCGTATAGAAGTATTATTAGGTGGAAACTTTATTCTCTATACTTCAAGTAGCAGTACTGGAAACTTTTTCCCTGAAAACATTTTAAGTAAAACCATTACTATGTCCTGCTTTCAGAGGCGGTTCGGAAGATTCATTGTTCTTGTTAGGTTTTGATCAGATTTGACTTTGGGATGGGACAGAGACCGATATTTGAGCCTTCAATTAAGTGTAATTGAATGTGCGGTCTCAGTTTGCCAAGTGATGGATGGAGGGATCCACTTGATTCAACTTTACAGTTAATTATTCTATCAATTCTGTAGTAGTTGTGACGCAACATTGTTCATGTTAGGTTCAAGTGCATAGATTTGGATGGAAATGGAGTTTTGACACGGAATGAACTGAATTTCTTTTATGAGGAGCAATTGCATAGAATGGAGTGCATGGCCCAAGAACCTGTTCTCTTTGAGGATATTTTGTGCCAGATAATTGACATGATTGGACCAGAGGTTTGCCTTTTCTGACTGTGCCTTTTTACTCTTATCTTATCTTTTTTTGGAATTAACTGAACATTGTTTAAACAAAATCTTAAAGTACAAGGTTGAGGGCAAGTGGTCCTTATCGGAATAATTGTAACCCCTCCTCCTTAATTGATCATTGTGTTGCTGGCATGTAACATCCTGGAAATAAGCATCCGCCGAGCTTTATTGCCTCAAGAAAATTGTTTAAAAGAATGGAATACTGTGCAGCTTGTTAGATATAGTTTTATTGTGGTTGACATGAAGCTTTGTTCTTGCAGAATGAGAGCTATATCACACTCCATGATCTGAAAGGCTGTAAGCTTTCAGGAAGTGTTTTCAATATCCTTTTCAACCTTAACAAGTTCATGGCCTTTGAAACTCGTGATCCATTTCTCATTCGTCAGGTATTCAAAACAATTTTTCTTTTCATCATTTGATGTTGGAAGATTCCGGATAAACATGTAGTGGACTGCATTTCTATTGTTGGTAACAGACTTGCTGTTGCTGATATTGTGATGTTTACAGGAACGTGAGAATCCAACCTTGACAGAGTGGGATCGATTTGCACATAGAGAATACATCAGACTTTCAATGGAAGAAGATGTTGAAGATGCCTCAAATGGAAGTGCCGAAGTTTGGGACGAATCACTAGAGGCTCCCTTTTGAGTTCAACTCAGGTAATCTACCTTAGTTTGAAGTCAATAAAATATGGCGCTGCTTTATTTTAATTATATTACCCTTTCCTTTTTATTTTGTTTCATTCCTATGATGGGCAAATGGGTATCCAAAACATGTTATTAACCTCGGTTTCTTAGACTCTGCATATCATGTAGTGGAAACAGATGAAAATTACAATAAATCTAGTCAATACTTTTGATCTACTTTGTGTAAACACAAGTATCACAAAACTCTGAATGTTTCACTCAACATGCAGTAAAGATGTTTATTTATGTCCGTAGATTCTCATCGGAAACATTATGAATTTTGTATGATCACAAATATCAACGACATGAACTTGTGAATGATGAATCAATTGTTATGCATAATTTCTATCTTGTCTCCATTGCCTATGGAAATTCCACCTTTGCATTTGTCTTTGCAGGAATAGGATAGGTAATTTCAGTTTCTTCTTTAAACTGGCAATCAGACAGAACTGACGACTCGTAGAATCAGTATATCGAACGAGCTGTTGTAGTGCAGATACCTGCACTGTTGTTGAGGGTAAATTCTGAACTCGGTGGTGTCAATGTACCTTTTTTTCCAGCAGCAAAACTGAAAGAATACTGGTCTACATGTTCATGAATTGAACAAACGACGGGTCAGAATGGAAGCCCCAAAGCCTCAAATCATAGCATTCAGAATAGCTGTCTGCTCACGATTAACGACGGCCAGTTGAAAGATAATAACATCCGTAACACGTCTTTCTCTCCTTCTGGTTCAATTTGTTGCCTCAAGTTGTAAGATATCACTTATTTAAGGTTATAATTTATGTCATAGTGATTGGTTGTTTGAACACTTTCATTTGTAAAGTTCTTTAGGTCGTGCCGGACTTCTTTGTCAAGCAATTTTGGTTCCTATCAATTGATATTCATGGTTTATAATCTTTTCGTGTTTGTTCATCTTATTGTACACGAACTGAGTAAGATAATGACCTGACATTCGAGTGTATGCCAATCGATTTCTTCCCTATCAAGAGAAGCGGCATTTTGCTCGGATTTGCAAGACCATTTCTTGCAAAACCGAGCGAAAACCCGAGCAACCCTGTGAATGCTTGGCCTGAAAGAGCTTATGGTATGGAATTGGACAACTTTTGCCTCAACTGTGGCTTCTAATGTGACTCGTCGTATATTTCTACATTAATGTGACTCGTCGTATATTTCTATTTTATTGTCACGTGAGAAGAGATGCTTACAAGGAACACACATTCAGTCACGCCGCATAATTTCCTCCTTGTATCACATACGATACAAGAGATGATAATGTGGGATATAACTTCGGTAACGCCTATAAATTCCCCAAAGCACGAAACAATTTTCTGCCACTAACGACCTGTAACCCTAAGAGAGAAGGTTTTCTTAATAAAGTAATTTTAAAAAAAAAATAACACAGGTAAGTGCTGAGAGCGTTCTTATTTAATTTACTGTGTCTCGTGTTCAAATCCTTATCCTGGCCCGTCCCATAGTTTAAAACAGAATTGGATCCTATCCGGATTCACTTTGTAAGGATCCTCACATCTTAGTCATTCATCGTGTATCGTGCGTTTAAAAATCATTTTACTTTTTTTTTATTTAAAATTAAACAAAAATATTATTTGACAAAAACTGACTGCTTGATGTACGATGAACGATTAGAATGTGAGGATCTCTAGATCCCCATAAAATGGATCCGGAGAAGATCATCTTCGGTTTAAAATAATATGAAAGTTTGTTTGAAAGTTTTCTTAAAATAACTAAAAGCGATTTGAATGAAAATATTTTTTAAACTAATCTTTAGTTAAAATTCAAGTAATTTCTTAAAAAAATTACTTAAAGTGATTCGACATGTCTAGTGCTTCTCAAAAGGCATTTAAAATGATTTTGAACCCGAAATTAATTTCATCAAAAATATTTTCAGTTATTTTGAAAGTATTTTTCAAAAACAAAAAGTTTCTTCGTGTCCATCCTCCACAACTCTCACATAAGCCGAGGAAGAGCACCTCTCCCAATTACACAATCCCAAAACCCTGCCTTTCCCAGAAACTCAGAGAAGTTGAAAGCAGGTTTTGGGTAAACTTTAGCGCAGCGGCGGGTGCGGTTAGACTGTTAGAGCAGCAGGCGGAGATGAAGGTGGTTGCTTTAGTAAGCGGCGGCAAGGACAGCTGCTATGCCATGATGAAGTGCATCCAATACGGCCACCAGGTTCGTTACTTTCTGTTTGGTTCCCTAGAAAATGCAGGAAATTCATAGCAAAGATTGATTTTTTCCTGATTTTTCATGTTGTTTTCACCTGTTGTGTATTTGGGTTTTCACTGAAAGTTCAGCTTAACTTTGGGTTTAGATTGCTAATGGCATTGGGATTGATGACTGAGTGTTTGGTGGCTGAGAAAATCCACATTGTTAAAGAAAAAAGAAAATTTCGTTCCTTTTATGCCTTTTTATAACTGGTTTCTAAATTGCTTATATCCTGGGTTCAGTTTTCGCTCTTGAGTGATTGCTGGTTAAATAAATAATTGGGCTCGTTTGAGACTGCTTCTGTAAAAGCAGTTCTGCTCATAGTGCTTACATTAGAAACACGTTAAGTTTTTATTGAAATCCAAGTGGTTTATGAAAAAGCATCTAGCAAGTGATTCTCTAGAAAGCGGTTCTATTCACCCAGAAGCACTTGAAACGCAGTCAGAAGCGCTTTTGGTTGCCATGTTCAAAGAGTTTAAAGATTCTTTATAAATGTCATATTCAAAGTTTGATAATTGATAAGTGCTTATTATTACGCAGATTGTTGCAGTGGCAAATTTGATGCCAGCTGATGATTCTGTGGACGAGCTTGATAGCTACATGTATCAAACTGTAAGTCTCTCTTTCCTTCCTCCCTACAATTACATATTCGAATTAAAGTTAAGGAAATCCAGTGATGTGATTGTTGAGTCCATTTACGTTCCTTAGGTTGGGCACCAGATAGTCGTCAGCTATGCAGAATGCATGGGAGTCCCATTGTTCAGAAGGCGAATACAAGGATCCACAAGGCAAGATTTTAAGAAGGAAATTTTGATAAGAACATTTTATCCTAGATTTAGAAGCTGCAATCTTTGTTATTATTGTTGAGAAATTCTCACGTGTAAAGCATATTTTTATTCTCGAATCGCTTTTGTGGATCATATAGGCATCAGAAGCTTAGCTATAGAATGACACCTGGCGATGAAGTCGAAGATATGTTTATTTTGTTAAATGAAGTGAAAAGACAGATTCCTTCTGTCACAGCAGTATCCTCTGGTGCTATTGCATCAGATTATCAAAGGCTGCGGGTGGAAAGTGTGTGTTCTAGGTTGGGGCTTGTTTCTCTAGCATACTTGTGGAAACAAGATCAGTCGTTTCTCCTTCAAGAAATGGTAATTTCATTTTTAACAATATAAATGCAGTTTATTAGTAATGCATTATTTTAACTCACATACCCTTTTTGCCAACCAGATAACTAATGAGATTCTAGCAATTACAGTTAAGGTAAAATTCATTGTTTAACTTGCTATTTTGGTTGCTTGAAATCACTTGCATGTGTATTTGGATGGTTTTGTGGATGGAAGCCTAATATTGTTTGAATATCGTAGGTTGCTGCTATGGGGTTGGATCCCTCAAAGCACTTGGGCAAAGGAATAGCATTCTTACAACCCTATCTGCATAAGTTGAAAGAGTATGTTTTTTTTTTTCTGCTCAACCCCCTTAAACCAAAGTTTCTGCAGTACATTGATATTACCATTCTTGATTGTATACGAGCATAATCCATAAAATCTGTTGGTTAATCTACCATTCGTTGTCAGTTTGTATGGTATTAATGTATGCGGCGAAGGAGGGGAATATGAAACCTTGACACTGGACTGCCCTCTCTTTGTTGTAAGTTTATATCGTTTCTCATCCTCTGGCCATGGTCTGCTGTGAATAAGCGGGAGTGAGCAGTTGTCCCAATTCATTTTTCTTATCACATTTTTAAGTCAACATTTATGTCACTTGTTGCATTTACGTTCTACATGATTTTTTTTAATTTACAGAATGCTAGAATTGTGCTGGATGAGTTTCAAATAATACTGCACTCTTCAGATTCCATAGCTCCGGTTGGGGTGCTTCATCCCTTGGCTTTTCATTTGGAAAATAAGGCAGAGTCCTGTACTTTGGGGAGCAGTGATCATACCAATCAGAAGTGTCAGGAGAAGAAGAGTTTTCTATTTGAAGTGCAAGGAGACCATTCACAAGGATATGATGCTGCACGCAAAGCTGATGCCGAAGTTGAGAATGCAGTTGAACTTGCTGATTATAAACTTCACATTTCAAAAACACAAAAGGGTGATACATTTTCTATTTGTTGCTGGTTACAAGATTCTCGTACGACTTCCACAGGTGAACAGTAGATGAAGTATACTTCTCCGGTTGTAATTTTTATTCCTCGCCAGTGTATCGTTTTTCAGATAGTATTATAACAATTTAATACTGTTAAATGATCTAATTGACAGGATTGCAAGGAGATCTGGAGGCTGTCCTGAAGAAAATTGAATCACTACTTGTAGAATATGGTTTTGGTTGGGAATATGTTCTCTATATTCATCTTTATATTGCCGACATGAAAGAGTTTGCTGCAGCAAATGATACATATGTGAGGTATATAACTCAAGGTAAGTGCCCTTTTGGTGTTCCATCCCGCAGTACAATTGAACTGCCTTTGTCGCAAGCGGGTTTAGGTAAGGCATACATGGAAGTTTTGGTGGCAAATGACCATTCCAAAAAGGTTCTACATGTACAGAGTATATCTTGCTGGGCACCCAGTTGTATTGGACCTTATAGCCAGGTAAAACATACGTCATCAGCTCCCAGTCAGCACCTTTCCTTTTACTTTTCTTCATTTTCCTAACGAGAACAGTAGGTTTGCATCATATAAGGTGGAAAGTTCCATGAATTTAAAATTGGTGATCTTCTAATTTCTATCAATTTGTTTGCTTCCAGGCAACTTTGCATAAGGAGATACTTCACATGGCTGGGCAGTTGGGGCTCGATCCTCCCACAATGACATTATGCCAAGGAGGCCCCATTGACGAGCTGGAAAAGGCACTAGAAAATAGTGAAGCAGTGGCTAAATCCTTTAACCATTCAATATCGGCCTCAGCTATTGTTTTTATCACTTACTGTTCAACAAAAAATATATCGTCAGAGAGATTTAAAATTCAGGAGAAGCAGTTTGCTTTCCTTAAACAAACAAGGAGCTTCGAGTTGGATCTAGGAACCAATTCTGAAGCATTTGATCCCATTTTTCTATATGTGCTCGTCCCTGATCTACCAAAGGGGTAAAATTTTTATTTATGCTCCTCATTTGTTTCGATTTTATTTCGTCGTGATTACCTGAAATAATCAGTTGCTCCTCTTTTTGGCATGCAGGGCCCTTGTAGAAATTAAGCCCATTTTATTTGTTGCAGAAGATATCGAAGAACCAACTGAGAATGCAAAAGACCAATCCTGCTCAAGCAACCCTGGTTACTGGGGTTTTCAGCATGCGGATTGGCATGATTCTTGCTTTCAGAGTTGCATTGTTCCTGGAAAATTATGTACGGTTGTTTTGTCCGTGAGTAGTGAACTTGCTTCGATGATCTGTCTTGAAGACAAGAATAAAGAGGATTATCAAAATTCTTTTGCAGAGAGGCAGACGGATAGAGTATCAAGATTTTGCATATATCTTCTGGATAAAATTATGACGGAGAACGCTTTTTCTTGGCAAGACACAATGGTATGTTTCTTGTCTAATGACTCTTCTTTCTTTTGTTACTGTGTTTTCGTTCGTATCATTCTAACTCTGTCTTTCCTTGCATAGTATTTGAGGTTGTATTGTCCAACAAGCCTTCAAGTATCTGTGGATGCACTCTCACTGATGTTGACTAATGCATTCAATGAACTCGCCGAAATGGGTCGGATCAAGACTGGCAAGGAACCCGTCTTCAACCTCCTTCCGGTCTTAGGTGCTGGGAGTTCTTCAGCAACCATGAATGATATAATCACCTGTGAATTATTGGCTCAGAAATCCTGAGTTTCATTGCTTCATGTGAAAGGAGAAAAGATCCTTTGATTTCCGATATGGTGTTTGATGCAAATGCCTAAACTGTTTGTAATCGGATAATTTTATCCGCTCGCTTAAATTACCGGGTGCAAGGGGCTGGTGACTCATGTAGATCTGAGCATTCCCCCTCCACCCGAGATTTTGTGTTCGATTTCTGTTCCGATGTCATTTGTATCAAAGAAATATTCTCTGGTTTTAATCCAACATTTTGTATATTTGGAAAAAGTCACACTGCTCCACAACTCTCTCTCTCTGTCTACCCCCGACATCTCCACACAGCAACGGCGAGCTCAGTTGGAAAATGACCCGTCGTTTCCATGCAGGCAAACCCTAAATTCCTTACTGATAAAATAGTAAACGATACAACGTATATTTTTCTCCGGTATGCACTCCTTGTTGTTTAATACATCAAAAAAATACCACTGATAAGATTCAACAGGAGCGTGTCGAAGTTAGTTTCAATAAAATTGAAAGACATAAATTTGAAGAGTTATGTGGATAAAGTTGATGAGCTAGGGTTAGGGTTTGCCGGTTTGGACGCATAAAACATAATGCTTCACCTTGAAAACATTATGGTTGGTACTAACCCTAAGATATTTGATTGATGATGTGTAATGTTTTGGTTTGGGTTGGCAACTTTGGCTTATTTCCAAACTCGTACATATGTCAAGCAGATTGATGTGTTATATTATTGCGCATGCTTAGTTTGCTAACACTCAGACCAAACCAGACTAATGTGATGGCAAAATGTCTTGTCGTTCTTAATAAAATCTTGACAACTGTGATGCCTGACAATAATCTTCTTAGTTCCATGTCTAATGTCTTTATATATAGAAATCAATTCAAATCACATCATTATTAGTTAATTAGATGTAATTATACGATATGGTCTTGTATGTTGCAAGGTTCCAGGAGAAGGGAGAATGGCTATGGTACGCAACTTTACGCGTGCTTTGCAAAGAGGTTATTTACAGGACTAGATACTGGGACATTTCAATCACAAATGAGGCAACCACCACCATCTTATTTTACATTACACGTGTGGTTCACACATGTTTGAAAAAAACTCTCACTGTTCCACAACTCTCTCTCTCTCTCTCTCTCTCTCTCTCTCTCTCTACACTCCGACATCTCCACACAGTAACAGTGAGCTCAGTTGAAAAATGACCCGTCGTTGCCAATCATGCAAACCCTAAACTCCTTACTCCTTGTAGTGATCAAATAGTAATGGGGTATGAATCATATGATACCATGCATATTTTTCTCTTGTGTACATCCTTTTTTATTGAGTTTAACACGTAAAAAAGAAACAATGCCTAAGATTCAACCTAAGTGTGTCGAAGTTAATTTCAATAAAATTAAACGGCAAAATTTGAAAAGCCATGATGTAGTTGATGAGGATTAAGGTTTGGACCATAACATAATGCTTCACCATGAAAACAATGTGGGGTTGGTACTTTGTCTATTAGACATAAACCCTAAGATATTTGATTGATGATGTGTAATGTTTTGATTTGGGTTGGCAACTTTGGCTAAATGCCTTGTCGTTCTTAATAAAATCTTGACCAAATGTGATGCATGGCAATAATCTTCTTAGTTTCATGTCTAATGTAATTATCAGAGAACGATTTGTAAGTTGCAATCCTGCAGACACCGTACGCCAAGAGGAGGTATACATGGCTGCACATTTTGGTTGGTCTTTAGGGCAGCAAGATGTGAAAATTGCCTTTTTACAAGGCATCTTACAAGAGGAAGTATACATGGCATAACCACCTAGTTTTATTGATGTTAAGCATGGAGATTATTTATGTAAGCTACACAAATCTTTATATGGATCGAAACAAGCCCCAAGAACTTGGAAGGACAGGTTTACTTGTTTTCTTCCTTCCTTGGGCTTCAACTCCACATATGCAAACTCTTCACTATTTGTTAAAACTGTTGGTGATTAATTTTGTGGTTATGTTGCTGCTTTATGTTGATGACATTATCATCACACGAAGTGCATCTCAAACTATCACTAATGTTATCAATTCTCCTACTAAGGAATTTGATATTAAAGACCTAGGACCACTCCATTACTTTTTGGAAATACAAATTGTGCAGAAAAAAAAGGATGGTTTGTTCTTATCTTTGGACAAGTATGTCACATGTTTACTTACTAAGTTTGAGATGTTATTGTCTAAACCATGTGCCATTTCTTGTCTGCCATAATAATCCTGCATTATACAAAAGCTTGGTTGGCACCCTTCAATATCTTACATTTACCAAACCTGACATTGCCCTTGCAGTACATTAGGTTTGCCAGTTTATGCAATGTCCTATCAAGTCCCACTTTTATGGCAGTAAAGAGAACACTTTGATACTTAAGGGCTACTTGAGGTTGTGCTATTCATTATGGCAAAGGAGCATTGGATTTAGCTGCATATAGTGATGCAGATTGGGTAGTGGCCCTAATGACAGGAGGTCTACCACTGGAATGGTTGTTTTCATGGGTTCTAATCTTATATCTTGGTCATCAAAGAAGCAAAACACTATCTTTTGATCATCTACTGAAGCTGAATACAGAGCTCTTTCTACTACAACAGCTGAAATTGATTGGATCAAACAATTATTGGTTCTTTCTTCAAGTTCCATCTTTTGATAAACCACTCTTATTCTGTGAAAATTTATCAACAATAGCTCTCACCTGCAATCCTATTCAACATCAAAGAACCAAACACATAGAGATAGATGTGCATTTTGTTAGAGAAAGAGTGGCCAAACAACTACTGCATGTTCATTTTGTATCTTCCAATGAGGATTTTGCTGATAATATACTCGCCAAAGGACTACCTGCACCACTATTTCAAATTCACTGTGCCAATCTCATGCTTAGTTTCTCTGCCCCTGAGTTTGAGGGGGAGACGTTAGGAGTGTTAAGGTCCAATGGTTGTTGACTAAACAAGTGTCATGAGATTAAGAAGGCAGTTATGTTTGTTATAAGAGTAACTTAGCTTGTAAGGTACTGTAGCAATCGTATATAACATAATGATCACCATGAAAACAATATTGGGGTTGGTACTTTGTCTATTAGACATAAACCCTAAGATACTTGATTGATGATGTGTAATTATTTGGTTTGGGTTGATGTGTAATGTTTTGGTTCGGGTTGGCAACTTTGGCTTTATTTCAAACTCGTATGTATGACAATGAAGATTGATGTGTTAAATTGCATGCTTAGTTTGGTAAACCAGACTAATGTGATGGCTAAATGTCTTGTCGTTCTTAATAAATCTTGACCAATGTAATGCATGACAATAATCTTCTTAATTTCACGTCTAATGTCATATATAGAAATCAATTAAAATCACATCACTATTAGTTAGGTATATGTGATTATCAGAGTACGATATGGTCTTGTAGGTTGCAATCCTGCAGACACCATACACATGAGACTATGAGAGACCTCAAACCATTAAGAATCTTCGTTTTGCGGGGGTCCAAGGGGAGAGAGAGAGAGAGTGTCTATTGTACACATGCATGCTTATCTTTATTTTGCAAAAAAATTGTTTCCACAACTCGAATTCACAACCTTTTGGTCATAAAAAAACAACCATACACCAAGAAAATTAAAAACATTTACGATTCTTTTTAATGGTACGTAGCACTGAGTAATATGAAAAAGAATGGCTAAGACTAAAAATAAGAAACTTAAAAGTTGTAAAAATCAAACCTAACAGCTAAAGCATCTACAACACTGAGTGTTAATTACGTAGATTTGAAGACACCCTAAATTTCTAACTACAAAATTTGGAAATGGAGATTTATTGTATCATTTTTTTTTTACTTGTATTACAAGGTTGATTCAATACAATAATATATATATATATGTATGTATCGTTTTGTTTTTTTTTCCATCTAACGAACAGCAATTATGACTTGTTACCTTACGTACAAGGAACGTAGGCAGGATGGTAGTCATCATAACATCATTCATTAGGGATTCATACCATGTTCCTATATGAGAATGCATTTCATTATTTATTTTATTTCAAAGCATATGGTGCATCCAAATCACAGTATAGTTAGAGTGTTGGGTTCCTACTCATACGTTCCAAGTTTAAAACTCCTCGCCTTTAAATTATGGTAATAGTTTTGAACTCTCATCTCTGTCCCTAATAATAATAATAATAATAAATAAATAAAATGACAGTTGCTTGTATAACTTCATATTATATGACCATTGGAGTTGGATAAATTTTTTGTTTGTCACCAGATGTATATACACACCTTACGTATGTGCTACTATCCTTCATCACGCACTTCTTGGTTAATCGAGATTAATTTGATGGCGACGGTGCCGTTATAGAGAATATTAATTGAAGTATATATATGCTACAGTTGCAGGTAGACGGGGACCTCGATCATCAAATTATTCAGATCAGATCGGTAAGTGCCAATTTCTTTAGTTTAATTTGTTTCCATGGCCAAGTGTGGGGGCTTTCACTCTGAAAAAGAAAAAAGAAAAGGATGTAGATTTAGTTAGTTACCCACATGCACTGACGGGGACCATATATATAAATAATACACACATATATACATACACACACACACACATATATTACACCACCACCATGCATGGCTGGTTTACAGATGGCAATGCATGTACGAGCAAAGAAAAAGAAGGCGTGTATATATATTACACCACCACCATGCATGGCTGGTTTAGAGATGGCAATGCATGTGCAAAGAAAAAGAAGGGGTAGCAACGCATTCCAAGACTCACAGAATTTGTAGAGAAGTAGTTGAGAAGCAAGAAGGGGCATGCATGTATTCACTAGCAATGAAATCATACGGCCTGGCTTTTACATACAAATCCACTTAAACAATGCTAGACGGGGATTTTTAAAACATGGATGACACCCCCACAAACCCACATAGTTTGTAGAGAAGTAGTTTAGAAGCATGAAGGGACATGCATGCATATATTCACTAGCAATGAAATCATATGGCCTGGCCTCACAGGTGGATATATAT